CAAATGACCTTGGGTCAAGGTCATGACACACCCTTAGGTCATGGGCAATCTTAGTGTGGAGTAGTAGATTCTGATGTCCCTCTGTAAGAAAGATATGGACCGGACACGATTGCACAGACAGACAGACGGACGGACGGACGGACAGACAGACAGACGGACAAGGTGATTCCTATATACCCCCCAAACTTCGTTTGCGGGGGGTATAATGACTATTTCCAAATATTTCCTTGCTCCAAAAATTTTGACTCTTTCACTCATCCATAAAATGTAGGTTGGATTCAGAATCTAAAGCAAGCCTGGTAATGGATCCATGGAAGATTGGTCAAAATAGGCCTTATAGTTACTTGGAAATGAGACTAGCTCAAAAAACTTTTAACCTAGTCACTCATATTAAAAATAAAGGCCAGATTCAGCATCCGAGGCAAGCCTGGTAGTGCACTTCCATATATTTTATTTTGGATGTACATGTTCGATTCTTGTAAGTTTGGTCAAAATGCTTGGAAATGACACCTGCTTCAAAAACATTAACCTGATCTTTCTTTTAAATTAGCTGAAATTGCAGTCTCTGAAACCCTGGTTGGTACAATGAAACATACTTGAAGCAACTTACATGCATCCCTTAGGGGCTAGGGCATAGATGTACTTAAAAAGAAGTCTGCTCCAAAAACTTTCATCTGGGACACCAACACTTGCACTGATCCCATGGGTGTTACTAATATTCCTGTCCACTTCATATTGGTGAGCAAAAAAATGATTAAAATGCATATTTTTTATGCCATCTCTGATTTGATGAATAAATTTATGCAAGTAAAATGTTATGCCGACAACCTCACTGCTTGATTTCCAGCAGAATCTGGAAAGCGGGCAAAACATCAATTGGCTGGGCTATTCCATTTGAGAAAAAAGTGACATTTGGTTGAAATTTAAAAAAAAATATATAATTTTGTCATTTTTCTATTTATGTAAATAAATAATAGTTTATCTTTTATTTGCAAGGTACTCGTTGACTTTTTTATTTGCATATATGATGAATAAAGGTACAGGAGTACCTCCCTCTTTTTCAAAGGGAGGGGAGTTTAGTGTGGTATGAGTGTGTGCAGGTATGTGTTAACTTGACACTGTGTGCGATGCACAGTGTGAGTAAGTTGTCATCTGTTGTGCATGGTGGTGTGTAGATCTAGTCACTTGTATTGCAGGAGAGATTGCGTATTATACTATCGTAAGTCTTGTATGATTAATGCTGAATACAAATATAAACAATTACTAGCATTGTCAGTTTATATATATACAATACTTCAACATTCACTAAATCAGTACTTGGAGCACGTCGTTTATATATTTATTTGAACATCAATTAGATTATACATTAGATTCTACACCCTAAAAATGCCTGTCAGTAAAAATATTTGCATTATCAATACACAGTTGATTCAGGGCAAAGTTAACCCCACTTAAGATCTGATGTCCCAAACTTATGCAGAGTCTAAAAGCACAATACATTTTCAAAATATAACGATATTTCACTTTTTTGTTTTATAGATTAATTCACCTGTAGGTTTTAAGCTGTCCCTTTCCGCAGCTTAAAAATACTTTATCAACGTTTTATCAATACGTGCATCTGAATCTGACAAATGTTATTTCAAATAATGTTAATTGTTTTCCCCAACCAACTCACCTGACCGTCCACTGACGCCAACTTTGCTGTTCGCGCCACATGTCAAATTTTAAAACTCACAATTTCGATCCCGATGCAAATAAATTACAAATGCATGCAAGAAACAAATAATAAATTTATGTATTAATCTATCCCCCAATTATAAAACAATTTTAGCGATTAATCTAGAATATGCTCTACCTCTAGGCAGGACAAAATATTTATGTCTCAAACCTGTCTTGTTATATAAGCTGCATTTCTAGGTTACTGGAAAGGGGGGGGTCTGAGATAATTTTTTTTTTAAAAGAAATTAATGCGTTTCAATTTTTCATGTATTCGGCTGATTTTTATGGATTCTATTGCATTTTGAAAATGTGAAAAACCTCTTAACCGAAAGCCTTTTTTTATTTTAATGCATATTTGCAAGATTAAATGCGACGAATATATCCTGTCCTATTTTTTCCCTTGTAACTACATTTCCCCTAAAATTGCAGACTATTTTGTGTCATTTGTAAAACTACCAACAGCTGTCTAAGGAGATCTGGAAGTTGTGTCGTTTAACCACTGACCAGGGAAAATACCCTTTGAAAATGGCGGGGATGTCAAAATATACAAATTAAACAAATTCTTAAACATTTTTTTATTACAACAGCTTTAGAATATTTACCTCAATTTTTGATCATCTCTAGGCTCCTGTAATGCATTTTCGACTGAAAAATGTGTATGAACTGATCTGAAAGTCTGCTGCGCATTTACCTGTTACTGGTTTGTGAATTCAGTTGTGAATTATGTTCAAAAATCATGCTCACGTGATTTCATTACGTATTCATCATTCATTACTCTACTGCGGTCAATAAATCGTGAAATGTGTATAAACTAATGCCACGAGTACACGTGTACAATCTTTTTGTTACATGTACATTGCAAATTTCAACAGAAAATCTTTTGCGTGGGTATTTTAATAAACTTTTTAAAATTACAGTCATGAATTACATTTATATATGGGTTTATTCAAAATCATATACCGGTATACATATACATTATAGATGGTAAAATATTCATGAATATTCTTTGATATACTGGGTATCAATCTATAATTAAAACTGCTTACATACTAATTTTGAGTGAAGAATACCAAGTCATAACATTATATTTCAACATTAAAAGAATGGCCTAGACTCCCAATGGTTTTAAGGAAGGACACAATAGATAGGCCAAGATTTTTTCTCAAATTCATTTTTTCTGAAACTTTGATATTTTGTTCTAGGATACAAAATCTCTCTTTGTATGTGATATAAAAGAAATTCAACCACACATTTTTTGCCCACATAGTCTGATATATGGCCTATCAGACCCCTGTAAGAAGATTGTGAAATCAGACATTCGACTTGAGAACGACATTTATTTTAGAATTATCAATTGATTTATTGCAGATTTGTGCAATACTTTTAATAAAGATAACCTTTTTGTTACTTTAGATCAGTAAGTCATATTGATATTGGAAAATTTGAGTAAAATATAAGTAAAAATAGAACATACGTAGCGTCGGAATTGAAAATTCACATGTAAGTATCCAACAGTTTAAGTTTTCTAAAAAGAAAATATATGATTCAATTTTTACTAAAAATCAACAGAATGATTCAAATATGGTTCCTAGAATAAAATGTGTAAAAATAAAGAAAATTGAACCAGTGGTTTCAGATGTTTTGGCGATAAAAAAAAATTCAATGGAAAAGAAACTAAAAGATTCAGTAAATGACGTCACAATATTTGACCTCTGGATATTGACCTTTGTAGTGCATAAAGAATGGAAACTCTTAATATAAGTGTCCAAATATCAGCCCTCTACTATATATGGAACAAAAGTTACACTGCATTTTATAACAGACTGTTACATACTTGTTTATTGCAGTTAGATAGCGTAAACACATTCCAAAATGTAAGCTCCCTAGATTTGCTCGAGTCTCTATGTTTTTATTTTTTTCATAATATTCTTTTGATTTTTTTTGTTCTTATTTGTATTGCTTTCCTCTGCTCTCTGTCATTTTTGACATTATCAAAAAGTATGAAAGAGAGCACTAAAACATAGAGACTTGAGCAAGTTTATAAGCTCCCAAGTGACCAATATATAGGATACTCTGATTTATTAACAAAATATGATGCAAACATGCCAAAACTTATTATTTTTCTTCCAGGGATCATTCACTGTTGTCAATATAGTAATATAATTCTTTTTTCTTCAGTACTTTTTAAGAAATGGTTAAAATAGAATCCACGGATGTTTTGTCGTTGAGGTCTAACCATAGTCCTGATCACCATTTGGATCCTGGGAGAGGGGAGGGATCCAAACCTCCTTGGAACTCTTATGAATTATATCTGAAGAAAATTTAGCTGAAAAATGACTTGTCCAACACTCTGTCTCAAATAATAACAGTTGTGTTTGTTTAAAGGCGAGTGCCCCAATCCCCTCCCCCCCCCCCCAAAAAAAAATGGGGAAAAAATACTGGAGGCATGCATGAAAAAGTTGCTTCTGTATGAAATATGTTATAGTTATGAATATTATACTTTCAAGTAAATTGGTTGAATCTGATTTGTGGAGAAAGATTTGTTAAACAAGAGGCCCATAGGCCACAATGCTCACCTGAGTAACTTTGGCCATGCTGTTCTTTACCAGATCCCCCTCCCTTCTAATAGCTAAATATCTAGGGTGGCCCAACATATGCCATGGGATCATAATTTGGGAAATGTTGAATCTACGTTGTCCCAGGATATTTCCAAATAAGTTTCAGTTTTCCTAGAACAGTGGTTCTTGACAAGATTTTTCAAAATATTTCAATGTAAAAATTGGATTCCCTATCATGGCCACGCCCTACCCACAGAGTCATGATTTAAGCAATTTAATATCTACATTACCCCCAGTTGCTTCCACATAAGATTCAGCTTTCCTGGCCCAGTGGTTCTTAAAAAGAAAATTTTTAATGAACCCACCCTATTTTCACCTTTCCTTGATTATCTCCCATTTGAAGGGGGGTGTGTAATAAGTTTGATTAAAATTGGCCCAATGGTTTTAGAGAAGAAGTTGAAAATGTGAAAAGTTTACAGACGGGCAGACATCAAATGTAGCAGAGCCATGTATCAAACACTACCACATACTAGTATGCTTAACCAAACTTAATATGGATATACATATACTGCAGGTGGAATCTGTTGTTAAAAATTTCATGTTTTTTATGACCAGAAGAGTTCTCTTCCCTGATACAGACTTCAAAAACAATGAATGAATAATAAAGAGAATTTAGCATTGTCATTATTTTAATTTTTGTACAATTCAAAGATACACAATATACTTTTATAAACAAATATATTGTAGCTTTTATTTGAATTTGTATAGCTGAAGTTATGCCCCTTTTTGGTTTGAGAAATTCTTCTTAAAAATATTATTAGAAAAAATATACTTGACAAATTGTATTTTCACTGGTTTCCATCACCTAAAAAATATACAATTACACCTGATCTTTTTATTTTTATTACAATCTAAAGATCATGCAAGAAAAATACTCTATTTCACATCAAATGTTACTAATGGTTTAAAAAAATCAGCAATTTGCATCATTAATCCATAAATATGACTGGAAAAACATATATAAAATGAGTAACAGTTGTAAAAATGATCCATGCCTTAAAACTAAATACTGTAAACCAACTTTTATTCATGTGAGAGAAAGTCTTGCGATGTTCAGGAGAACCACGTCATCGCAACTACTTCTTGCCTCGAACCAGTCCTTTAAGTCTCTGTTTCTATTAAAAACAGATCCAAAAATGCTTGATCACAAAAAATATTTGTTGCGAACTATTTTACCCCTGGTAAACCGTGAAATAAAGTCGTCACAAACAAAAGTTGGTTTACAGTACATATATCTATGATGTACAATCATATAGAACAGAATCAACATGTAGCCCAAAACACATGTATTAACATTTTACATAAACACATAATGCATAAAAATCAGATGTACCAAAAAATAAATATCTACGGTAATGAGTTCAAATTTCTGCCTTGTAAATGTTTTCTCAGAGTTGTATTTTGTAATGTGTTGTCATGACCATGACCTTTGGAGGTAGGATGACAGTAAAACGGTGGGAGGATCAAAGACAGGATAGGGGTTCTCCACATGAGTGTGACGTTCTCCATTGTTTTCCACACCTAAAAAATAACAAATGAGTGCTATTTAGTATGATCTTTTTATTTAGTAGTACTTGAAAACTAAGGGTATTTTTTAAAACTACAGTAGCTTTTTTGACCCAATGACCTCAAATTAAATTTACCATTCAATGGAATTTGCCAAATATTAAAAGTGACTTTGAAAAATGTCATATTTGACATGTATATATGTCACATTTTGTACTTATTCACATCAATAGTCTTCAATTTTCTGACAACTTGTGTGATTGTAATGAATGCTTCCTCTATATTTTACTGATAGAAAACACCATTATCATAAGAGAAATGACTTACTTTTGGAATGGAGATCTAGGTACTGGCACACGCCGTGCAGCATCATTCTCTCAAAGCCTCCTGTTAGATGCTGGATGTACACAGAGTCCGGCCAAGATCTGAAGAAATCGATCACATTCTCCTCCAGACTCATCAGGAATTCCTACAAACAGAAACACAGAACACTGAAGGTGTGGTGTCTACTTCAATACTGAACTGTAGAACCACTTCTCATTGCCATCAAGTCACTTCAGTGACTTTGTTCACAAACAATGGGGTGAGATTGGTTTCACATAATAATTGTTTTAACTTTGAAGTGTGCATGGGGAAAACTGATTAGAATTTGAGTTGGATCGAAACAAGTGAACAGATCCAGAAATTTATTTTGATAAAGTAGCACTCAGACTGACATGCACTTGGAAGTCATGACAAAAAATTTAAAGTACATTGTAGTTGTAAAGAGCCATTCTCTGTAATGATTTGAAATTTTATATAGGAGCTGTGGCACGCATAGTCTCAGAATTTCTCCAAACTCTCTATGATAAAAGTCATTGATACCCTAAACTGAAATCAGACAAAAATTGGGTGCTATGCGTTAAAGTTACCATGGCAATATGTCTTAAAGTTTGAAAAATGGCATTCTCTAACATGTTTAGAGCCCCATAGTTAACATTTGCGGCAAAGCAAACAATTGGCAATGATTGTTTCCAAAAGTTGAAGGGCAGATGTCTCAAATGCATGATAAACATGTCTGGTAAATCAACTATTACATACGTTACTATGGTAACAAAGTATTCAAAAGTAAAAAAAATATTCATTGAATTTTATAAGGTCATACACTTAAAAATAAAAATCAATTATAGGATGAAATGTTACCAAATAATAGAAAAAAGAGCCTTGAAACATATACCAAGAAAAAAAATATATGACTGCCGTCACGAGAAAAGGGCCCTTAAGGTCAAATTTTCACAAATTGACTTTTTGGTAAATTTTGATAGCCGCACTCTTTCTGAATGCAAATATACATAAATTTTGAAAATATCTCACTTTTTCGGTATTTTATGAGCATTTTAGTGAGGCACTCCAAAGATAACTTTGACGTTACTCACTGAAAACGTATTGACGTCGCCTGCGTCTAAATCAATTTTCAAAAAAATCTTTAAATTACGTTATTTGAATAAACTCAATCGTTTTGAGAATAAAAAACTTGTGAAAGTATTCTATTTTTTTTCTTCCGTGCGACTATTGTGTAACTATTTCTAAGGGATTTCGTATGTTATTACTATTTTCATGCTAAATTTAGAGCAGATCTTGTAATTTCGTAAAGGAGGGGGGTCTAGACAGGATCTAGGAACGGTTTATAACAAAATCAATAGGGAAATAAATTTTTTTGAAATCCATACGATTTTTTATATAAAGTAATCTTATTCAATTTATGAAATGTATAAAGCACTTGTAACACTTAAAGGTGAAAAGAAATATATATATATATATAGAGAGAGAGAGAGAGAATCCCATGCAGAAGGACACCGCGCGCTAAACGGGACACCCCTCGCAATGCAAAAATCACATCGATCCCGATATTTATAAAAAAAAAATCTTATGAGACAGCAATCACTCACCAACACACACGCACGTCTCTTTATTCCCTATAACTGTTACGATCACAGGTACTTGTGCCAAGTTTGACATTTTTTTTTCAAAAATTATATTTATTACACTTATTCATCATGTGTACAATATGAAAAAAGTCAAAATGAAAATGTGAAAAAAATACCCCACTATACATAATAAGGGAGATAGTGGGTTTTTTTTTGTAACGTGGAGCGATTGTTTTGGGGTTTTGACGATTTTTTATATATTGTACACATGATGAATAAGTGTAATACATATAATTTTTGAAAAAAGCCTTCGGCTCACAAGTACCTGTGGTTACGATATAAAAAAAACACCATGTATTTTCTGTATCACCGAAAAATTTCATTGAGAAATAAATTTAGATACGCCAAGAAACGTAAACTTGTTTTTAAAAACGTTTATTCCTTTCATAAACATTGATGAAAAAATATACGTTCCCTTCTTCCGTGCGAGCTGATTTTAAAATTTTTACGTTTTTGAATAGTTTATTTAAAATGTTTTAAGGTCTAAGTTTTCATTGTTTACACAATATATCTTAGTTATGATGTACAGTAAATAGGCAATCAAAGGACAATGCTTTATATACCGTACCTTAAATAGAAACTTTCTTTGAATTTATACCTCAAATTGAAACTGTCTTTTAACTTCTTATTTTTGTAAAAATTAAATCACAATTAAAAACACATAATGCACATTAACTTTTCAAATTTCAGACCTGTACCCTGTTTCAAAACAGCATTTGTATACAAGGACCGCTACTATGATCTAAAAAAGTGGTTTATGTACCGTTGTATAATTTAATCAAAGAGATGGTCTCCTTTTTTTGTTCTTGTCTCTTTTTATTATATGTACACTAAAAGGTGTTTTACTTTTCTGTGCGAAATTACAGTTTCAGTAAAATTTTGTGGAAATCTATTTGAAACTGAATGAATACTAGACTGTATATTTTTAATAACGGCAGGCCCTTAGGGAGCCATTTCAATTTGGGGGGGGGGGGGGCTATAATTTTTTCAGTTGTGGGTACTTTCAACCATGCACCAAAATTTCCTTCACAAGCAACGCAATTTTTTTAAGGCCACGAACGGTCATCTATTCACCTTAAAACAATAGCTAATTAACTTGATACCTTATAAGCTTTTCACATTTGATCGATTTTCTTATCCAATAATGAACTAATACATCCAACATACGTTAATGCTTTTTGTATGAGGCGATGTATTTTTTAAAACGTACCTTTATAGTTTGAGCTTTTTTCACTGAAAATATTTAGGAGTTATTACCTCAGAACATACCAAACATATTTAAATCATAAAAAACCCATTTTAATGGAATGTCCCCAAACAACTGGTTTAAAAGTGACTTCAGAAAAAAAAATAATTAAAAAAAAAACTACTCAACCAAAAAAAGGGGATGTCTTCAATCCAACTTCGCCGTTGGGGAGTTTCTGACAACTTGTGTATTCAAATTTTCTTCATCAAACATAATACACTGCCTTATTCTTTTGCCATATAATGTACGAATTTGACTTAGCTGCAGATCTGTAGCTCTCCGACATAATATATTGATAGACCGGGGAGCTACAGTGCCACCCATTCAAAAAAAAAATGTATATTTCTTGCGCACAAAAAAGTGCGCTCGGTTCTTGATTTATTTCTCCATGTTTTTAAATTGTTATCTCAAAAAATTACTAACCGTATGTTCCGAATATATTCTTTCACTGTTTTCACAACCAAACATTCCCCATAATTGTTGTTAATAGTCCTCCTGGCTCTGATATTGTTATCATCGAACATTTCGCTTATTTAAACAACCATTTTGGTTTCAAAGATAATTCAGTCCAATATGCTTCGTTCAGATGTCAAATCCTAGAGAAATTTTTCGACATCTTTTTTTTTGCAGTTGAGATAAGAATTTGGAAGAATTAATCAAGAAATGAGCGCACTTTTTTGTGCACAATAAATACACAGTTTTTTGAATGGGTGGCACTGTAGCTCTCCGGACTATCAATATATTATTTAGGAGAGTACAGATTTGCAGCTAGAATTTGACTATGCTGCAACAATTTAAAAAGAGTGTATGTGTGTGTGGAGGTTCGGGGGGGGGGGGGGGGGGGGGGTTTCACATCAACCAAACTTGTAAGAGATTTATTATCACGCTCCAATCCACATTTTTAGAAGATATGTTTTTGCATAGAGCAGATTAATATTTGATTTGAGTTATGCAAGTTTTTGTAGAGTGTTTCGGTTATTTAGAAGCATCATCAGGGGTCACGGACATAAATCATGGTGTTATTTTTAGGTGAGACCGGGTTATCTCGTCACCTATATTCTTGTGTTTGCTGTAAGCTATTATTGGTTGAGAATTAAATAAAGTTTTGTATTTTGGATTTCAAAAAATTTCAGAATTCGTTTTTTATCTTTAACTTTTTTTTATCAATAAGCAGCGGTTGTGTCAACATCCATCTTCTTAACCCAATAACACTCACCTTTTGCAAAATAATTTTGGCGGCCGAGCTCGAACGTGGCATAATCCGGTCTTTTTATTCGGAGAATTCTTTTTGCCGGGTCTTCAACCCTCTCTTTTTACACACATTTTAAATTCGACAGTTCACCGAAGGCTGGCTATCGGGGTAAATGATTAACTATGGGTGAAAATTAAAAAGGCTAAATACGTTTTAAATTATAGTATATACTTTTCGAAAAAAAAGTAGCGCCTATAATTAAGAGCAGTAATTACTATATGTGCATAGATCTCTCACTCGCTCTTCTCTCTCTCTCTCACTCGACTCTCTCTCTCTCTCTCTGAAAAAAAAATATCCATGTATATCGAATGTTCCTTTTAATATTAAGACTTCTTAACATGAATTCAAATTTAAGCATTTGTAAATTGCTAAGAAAACAAATATGCAGCATCTTTAATTTAGTCATATATATACATCGTTTTAATCGCTGTTCCAGTGCTAGCAATGTTCATGTCCAATTACGTATATAACATTAAGTTAAAAACTTGAACAAAATTATATGAATAAATTTATTTACTAAACTGTAATAATATCATATACCTATTAAAAAAATGTCCAGATCAACTTTCAAATTTTTGTTACGCTTTGAAATTCAATTTTATTTCTTGTTTACAAAATGCAGTCAACAAAAATTACTTACACAATAGAAATAAAAAGCAATTTGTGAAATGTTACCAAATAATAGAAAAAAGAGCCTTGAAACATATACCAAGAAAAAACGGCAGTCATATTTCATTTTGGTTGGCAATGGTTGCCAAGGTTTTTATACCACAGAGAGCCTTCAAAGTAACACTCTGTATAACTAAATCTGATCCTACCTTTTAAAAAAAGCACATTTCGTCATAACTAATGATCAATTTTATAAGATGTCAGTGCGCTCCAAGTTTTCCCATTTGAAAAAATTCAGATTAGATTCTTTAAATAGAGCATTGCTATGGAAATAAACAGAAAATATATGCTTAAAAACCTAAAAAATATTTTCTTTCCTTGGATACGTACCCTTAAATGTAGATTCCCAAAACTTTTATGATTGATATTTATTAACAGCTAATTTGACTTTTAATTTTGACTATCATCCAATCTCTAAGTAGATGCAAGAAGTTGGCACACAGGGTTTAATATTGATATAAAGTTCACAAAATCGAACATTTTCCCTTCTTGGTAACCATAACAACAGTGTTGTTTTATTCATCAAATTTTATCAATATATGATATTCAACTTCAGTTCTAATAGATAAGTACTATTCAAGCTGAGTCCTTTAATTTGTTTCTTGATTAAATGGCAATTTAATTCTTAATGCAGCAAAAAATAATTCACTTTTAAGCACTGGTACTTTGTTTCCATGGTAACACTGCAAAGTAGTAATTATACCCAATTTTTCTTATGGTTTTGGTGTTGCAAGGTCCTAAGGATGCATATTTGCCAGTCTTGAATTTTCATGTTTTTCCTCAAGACAGTAGGATTAACCCAATCTTAGTTACTGGTTTTGCATGGTTACACTGTGTTACCATGGCAACCATAAAAGTTATTTATAGAATAATATTGCTTATACTTATATACTTAAGGTCAAACATTTTCATTGTTTTTCTTAAGTCGTTGATTGAGTTTGAGCATGTAACACCTACTATTAGTGAATACAGAGTGTTTTTCAGCATATTTCATTATTTTAAATGTATTCCAAAAGTACCCTTGGATACCACTTACTTAGAGATATAATCTAAACAGTTTCTTTACATTATAAGTGACATCAAGGTGTCCTGTTTTTGTGAGAATGGTTTGTTTGCTTTTTCTAGTTTTTATTATGCCACAGTCAAGATTTAAAGTGGCTGAAAATCTCGATTTTCAAACTTTTCCGGCTGTTGCCATAGCAACCGAGACACATAGCAACGAAATTTTGTTTGATATTTGTTTCTGGTGTCAGGTACTACGCATGGGGAAAGTTTCATCAAAATTGGTGACCATGCGTGGCAACGAAGTTTAAGTGGTTACAGAGAATGGCTATAAAAGCTTTTTACAAACTTGCATGTCCTTTCACACAATTTGTCCAGTAATTCATGAAAATATAAGTATAAATGCTATTCATGGGAAAATGTTAATACAAGTTTTCTGTCCTTACTTAGAACTTTAAATTCCACGATATACTTGCATAATAAGTAACTAATGATAATGTTTATTTCAAATTTATGCATACTGTTTCAGATGTTCCTAACTAATGTTTCACTTTCATTACTCAGCCCTTATAAAGGTTTACATCTACATACCAGTGGGATATGTTTTCTTCTCAGATGGGTTTTAATTTTCTTGTCAATCCTCTGGAAACATTCTTCTGCAGTATAAGATGGATGATCTACAACATAAAAAGAATCAAGATAATTGTAGGTTTTATATAAGACTGAAAACTAACATCCCACAGAAAGAATGATAACATGCATGTACAAGTACTGATAGTCATCAATGCCTTATTTTCACACATATTTTTTGTCAAAGGGTATCATTTAACTTTCCAACAATGTTTAGAGCCATCATGTCCTGTTGACAATAAAATAATCCTCCAAAGTCACATTGAGAAAAAAGACAAGCCATTCAGATCACAGTATGACATTTTAATAATTTTAAGAAGGCATCTCAAAGTGGAAAATCCTATCAGACACACAAAATATATTCCAAGAGCTGAATCCCAAAACACAGGGATTCAAACTTTTCACTTAAACTCTTGAATATGATCCACTTTGGAAGATGTTCAAACCATTGACCAAACAACAAACAATTTTCCTGAACAATTTCCTATTTCAAAGGACACATTTTTGTATGTTTGTAAGAATTTTGCCAGATTTACTGGCATCCCTCTTCTCTCCCTTACATTTCCTTTTGTCTGTGGTATTTTCTGTTGTCCTCTCCACCATCTGGAAGTCGCCCTCCACTTCCTCTTCCTCCTCAGTGATGGTTTCTGGGATTGATCTTCCACTGATGATTCTTTCTTGCTCCTCCTCTGAACTGTTTACAAAGCTGTTCCAAGCCTGTAAAGAGAGAGAACCACCTCTCGATGATCCTTCATAAACCAGATTTGTCAATTGTAAGGAAATATCTTCTTTGTTTATTCAACAACACATGAAAAGCGTGATGCCCACAATTACATTCTTTTGTTTACACCATGGATAGCACCTGGCCTGTGAATTAATGATTTCAGTCTTTTTTAATTTTGCTTGTGCACAGCAACAATCTTATCATATACAGAATATTTATTTTATTCAAATCCTATAAGGAATTCACACATTTCTTATAAAAAAGTACCTTAAAAATATGCTATTAACATTTTGTAGCAAAACAAACTAGCAAAGTAGAATAATTTCTCTAGATGACATTCTAAGGAACACCTGCCCTGCTGTATATATTCATTTTGAATTTTTAAAAATGCATGAATGTGCAATACAAACTAGATAAAAGAATTAAGAAATTTCAATTGCTAGTGCTTAAAATCAGTAGTGTTTCCATCATCTCTATCAGTTGCACAACTTCTCCAAGTTACTCAGGATTTAAATTATTTTTAAATGCTTGAATTTTTTTTACCTGCATCTTTTCTTTTTCATTAAAAAGCTCTGCAAATGCTGAAATGGTTGGCTCAAAAATATCAAAGTCTAGCTCAAATGAGTCCTCTTTTTCTGCCATGTTCAAAAGTTGTTTCACTGAAAAAGAGAGAGAGAGATATTGAGTAACAAATAAAACTGAATGGAATCTGTCAGGGGTCCTGAATGGCAACTAGTTGATGCAAGACCCCTGACATTGTGAGATTGCAAGCACTGTGAACCATATATATACCGGCCTTATAAAATCAAAGTACTGAGACAGTACTGAAAGGCAGGGTCAAAATAATCTTCATGCTATATTTCACAAATGTGATTTTTTTAAAGAGTTTTGCTAGCAACTTAATTTTTATTATCAACATACTAAAAACAAAACTGTAAATTGGTATATCTTCATGTTTTTCATTTACTTTGAAGTACATGTACATGTTGAAAATTCAATAATTACTACGTCTAGAAGACGTGACCCCATCTAAAAATTGCAAAACTAAAATTTAAACATACAATTGTCAACACGACGAGCTTTGCCAGCCCCCATTCTTTTCCTGCCCATGGCGTTAATGCTGCTGGATGATCCATGGTAACCTGCTCTTCTACCTCGCCTTAACTTTCTCTGTTTGTTTATGACATTCTCTTCCTCTTCACTTTCCAGAGTATTCTCCAGTTGTCTGCAAAGAACGTCGTGATGTAAAAAAGAAATGAACATCTATGCATACAGTAGTTACTTTTACTTTCCTAAACATGGTATTTGATGTTAGGATTTTAAATGAAAACAAATACATAAGATTTTATTGATCAAATTAAAGTGATTTAAAAAAAATATATAGTTGTACATTAGTCAAATATACAGCTGACAAACACTGTTTCTTCTATACAATCATGTACAACACTGCCCATACTGACACTTGGCACTAAGGTCACTATACTATATATACACCCAAGCCACTATGTCAGTGTATAAGCCTAGTGCATGAAAAAATGTATGTCAAGGTCACCTCATCAGACACTCCATTCGTGGCATTTTGCAGCATTCTCTAAACATTTCTTAGCAACACCTACTTTTCTAATGTCACTTACAAAATATTTTGATAAGAAAAGGTTTCACTCAATGAACATATTGAAATTTTCCGTCTTCCTTGAGCTAAACTGCCAGTAACAATATTTTATGTGAAAATTTGCATTGTTAATCACTCACTCAAGCTCATCTTCGATATATCCAAAGTGAAAAAGATCTCTATTATTCTTTGTAACCCCCATTATCCTTAAAAGTAGCTGCAGGAAATTAATAAACTATTGTTGATAACAACAGTCGAGTTGCTTCCAAAATGAAAATATTGCGTCACGAAGGTTCAATTTTTCATTCAAAATCCCAAACCCGACTCTTGTTTATTCGATCCCGATCAAATAAATTTTGTTAAATTTTCATTAAACCCATTCCCTTTTAATTCGTTCCCGTAAATTATTAAACAAGGAAGTGTGGTTTGGCTCAAAGTATTTTTCTATACATTTTGGATTTTTTTTTTAAATTATAATTTGATCTTTGCAAATTTCTACAATTTTTTTTAATATCGACATAATTTATGTCTGTGATTCCAGAAAATAGATTATGAAAATTCATCATTGATGCTGAAATTAATATCTTCTGCAAAAAAACCCCAATGCTACCTACCATCCTAGCTGCAATAATGTAGCCCTTTCCGATATCTTTAATCTGATGTCCCCTCCCCCCTCCCCCCCAAAAAGGGGAGACGGCTACATTATTGCAGCTACAGGGACGTAGCATCCGGGGGGGATAGGGGGGAAATTTTGCATTGTTTAATACCCCAACATTACCTTTACTATAGTAAATGCATTGAAATGATGTTTGCCCCCCCCCCACTTTTTACTATAGTATAGTGATATCAAGGATTGTAGGGAAAAAATTGGAAGTGATAGTAAGTTGGCTTCGAAAAAGTTGGCCACAAATAAATTTTGTTAAACACCCCCCCCCCCCCCCCCCCCCCCCACGTAAAATAGGATTTTGAGTTTGGCAAACTTTTAATTTTGGATTTTTTTTTTTTTTTTTTGCTTGTCAACTTTTTCAGGTGGGTGAAAAAAAAATTTCTGTGGTTGGCCCCCCCCACTTTCAAAAACGATGCTACGTTATTGCAGCTACCTACCGCCCAGAGTTATCATCCTGAATCAAGAGAGCGCAAACAACCACTATTTTAAAGTTACATGGCCTCATCAAACCACTGGTATGATTTTTAAAATCTTTTTAAAATATTTTTGAAGAACTTGCTAATCCAATTTCAACTTGGCTTGATGAAAATCATCTAAGAATGCAGGGGGAGATTCAACAGGATCAAGGTCCACTGGCAGCTGCTTTATTTATTTTGAGAGATACCATGGTACTACCGAGTATCTTACAACATTAGCTAACTAATAAATTTCTTTGACATGCCTGCCTGACAATGTAAGCTATAGTGTATATATGTAAATTCATCATGTATCTTTTGCTCATATTTGTAGACAACAAAAATTTAGAAATGTCTTCTGAATATTGGACTAAAAAGTCAGAATGATCACAATTACATTTTGGTGTTCAGTCATGTTTGTTTGTCAGTGGCCAGACGCTTTAGCTGGGGGGGGGGGGGGGGGCTATAAGACAGATAAAAATTATTGGTTATGAATTTGTCAACCAAGTGTTGTTGTAGTTAACATGGTTGAGGTCAATCTGTTATAAAAGAAAACAAGTAGTCCACGGGATACACTGTTCATGCTAATTAAGAGAGAAACAAGAGGACAGGCCCATGGCCACATCGCTCACATGAGCACTTTATTTGAAAAGCTTTAACGCATGTGGTCCAAACATACCCCTAAAATGCAGAAGGGGGAATGGTTTTAATTAACTTGAATCTATAAAAGATGCTTAAATATTTCTTTGACTTACTGTGGCTTTTTTCCCTATAAGTTTGAACTTTCAAATTTGCCGCACCCTTTTCCCGGGGGTCATGATTAGATCAATTTGAATCTATATACACTACATGAGGACGCTTCCTTATAATTATGACCAATCATGGCTTTGTTGTTCTTGAGAAGAAGATTTTTAAAGATTTTTCCGATATATCCCTATGTAAAACTTTGATCGTCCATTGTGGCCCCACCCAACCCCCGTGGGTCATGATTTGAACAAATTTGAATCTACACTACCTGAAGATGCTTCCACATTAGTTTCATTTTTTCCTATCCAGTGGTTTTAGAGAAAAAGAGTTTTAAAACATACCACCAAATTTTCACTATTTCTTAATTATGTCCCCTTGAATAAGGGTGTGTCCCTTTATTGAACAAACTGGAATCCCCTTCACCCAAGGATGTTTTGTGGCAAGATTGGTTGAATTTCTTAGTGTAATTATACTTTAAAATTGGCCCTGGTCTAAAAAATAATACAGGCTATTCTTCAAATTTTGAAAATCCAAAATTTTGCAAAATGAAAAGCATCAAAACATTTTACCCAACATTTTGTCAAGGCATTTTACCTTAATTATAAACAACCATTTCTATTGGTCATCTACGAAAAATTAAAGACAAGGATTTTGACCTTATAAACAACAACTGGCATAAAGATGGAACGCGTTATTTATTTTTTGTCATTGGTCATCTACAAATAAAATTTAAGTTTACTTAATGTAAACCAATTTGAAAATACATGTAGGTTTGTAAACTATAGTTTACAGTCGATAAACCTAGTTATCTGAAACTAAATTTTTGTGAATTTGACGTGCCATACATGTAGGTCGTTAAAAAAGTTAACAGGTTATCTTTTTAGAAGAAAATGTTAATCAACAACGATGCTTTCAGTTCCAATCTTTTCACAAGTTTTTGATATTCATTTTATGTACATAACAAATTTTAGAAAGATAGACTTAAGACTGAGGACAACTTTCAATCTGCGACCAAAGTGAAGCAGCTTCCATCGGGCCCAATTGAATTACAGCATTATTTTGATCAACTTGAAAATAAATATTCTCTTCTGTAAGGAATAAAAAAACATTAGTATAATCACCCCCACCCCAATCGAACCATTGCAACGTCATGCCATGGTGGCGCTCCAGAAGTTTATGACACAATGACATGATGTCATAATACATTTGTTTTGCAAAAGGAGGAGAAGGTGAGTGTTTATTAGCTAAATCAGTTTCTACCAAGTTATTCTTTAAAAAGTCGCCTTTTAAAGACGAACAAATATTGGCAATTTGAGGTAATAAAACGCTTAATAATGAGATACTTTTAAAAAAAATAAATCCCCTTAAAATTATATGCTTTTATCCTAATTTATGTAGGCCTATCACAGTATAGGCAATTATATATTTATCGTGACGTCATAATAATGTGACGTCTCAGAGGTCTTTGACGATGACCTAATGACATCACAATATCATTTGCTTTGCAACCAAAACAAAAGAAAGGTGTACAATGTGAGTATTATAAATTTGAAGTATTCAGCAAATTTACGAATTGGTTTTCTTACTGTTAAAAAATACCGCTGTTTTCTTTCTCGGGGAGGACCTGCTGGCAATACTGGCTTTTTATTAATTTGAGTTGAGTGTTTTCAGTACATCCCTGCAATTATAAAAGGCGCAAGACATTAGCACCGTACGGTCTTTATCTGAGTACCATATAGGATATTAAAATATAGCTCACCCCCTTAAATATGCATCAACTGCATATACAAACACATTTAGTATCCAGCGAATAACTCAGACAAGTGCTAAACGGGGGGGGGGGGGGGGGGATATTAATATTAAGAAACAACATGCAGACATTTACTAGTATTTTGATAAACATTCATATGTATCAAAGTTCTATTTCATTTCCACATTTTATCACAATTAAATTACTGTGTTTATTTTGAATTTTTGATTATAACAATAAACAATTACGAATTGTAATTTTTCTTGTAAATTTCAGAATGTCATTAGAAATAGATTACAACGAAGTATTAGATTTTGGCGAGGAGGCGGTGAAGAGTGTGGTAAGATTCTTTGCTGAATTGACAATTATTCAAAGACCCACCCCCCCTTATCTTTATATGAAAAATGCATTGTGTATCATCTATACAATTATTCTATAATTAATAATAAGATTTAATTAATTAATCTATAATGTATTATCCAAAAAAAATTTTGATCATTATATATAAAATTATTGCTTCAATAACTAACAAGCCTTTATTTTTATATGCATCATATCGTAGTAATTTCATGGGTTATAAATGTAATCGTGCATATATGTATAGGCTTTCCAATTCAAAGATCATGAATATACATGTATTAAAAAACGGTATACTGAAATTGTTTACTCCAATTTTTTTTTTATCAACCTATCTTTTTTTTTTATAAGGATGAAAAGATGAGCATTTTAAAATTTGGATACAGTTGGATCGATGTTGTAGAAGAATCGGAGAAGCAAGAGGTATTTTGATTGAACAATGTTGAAGTACCGTAATCTCAACATTTAAAAATCTTACTAAACATGATTTTCATATCCCAAAAATACCTGTAAAGTTTTGACCACTGTACGTTGAAAGAAATCATGAATAACTTGAAACTTTAAGATGCGTTTCAATGGAGAAGCTAAAAAAGACAATTTTATTTGTTTGCGGACAAAGATTGCAGGGAAAACACCTCGAGATCCCCAAAAAATTCTAAAACGAATGCACGAAAAACGAATGGTAAGTAAAAAGAATTACACACTTTCATTTGCTAGTTAAAAAAGTTTCCTAGGCCTGTTCCATTTGCTTATAAAAAAAAAGTGAACAAAATGTGTTAAACTGTTAATGTTTATTTGCAGAGGGAAATCGAAGACAAAAGGGCACATAAGCAATTATTAAACCAAGTCCATGAGGAATTGTTGGTAAGCATATAGAATAATATGGATATAGAAATATGATCAGCACATGATACACACATACATGTACTTTAAAAAACAAGATGTGTTTGTGAAACACTATGCGCCCGGCGGCAACAAAGTTCGGAAAAAGCTATTTTAGCATTAAGGTCACAGTCAAGGTCACAATACACACATACAAATGTACTCGGGACAAACAAACAAACAAACAAACAAACAGACAGACAGACAGACAGGACAAAACAATATACGCCTCGAATCTATCGATCCGGGCGCAAAAAATCCGGTATATAAGTAGAATTATGTACCATTTGTTTTATTACAGAAAATCTTCAATGCTAAACGAAAAGAACAAGAAAAGAGAGACCCACAGAAAATATTGAAATACAGACATAAGATACTTATGGTAAGAAATCACACTCAAACAGACAAGTATACAAATACTTTCAGAAAAAAAGTAGAAAATAAGATCATTAAATGTCTAATATCAAAACATTTTTTTCTTTATAGAAGAATATAGAGACGAAACAACATACTAATTCACTGATCCCGGGTGCACACAGACACATACTGGTAAGAAACAGCGAACTCAGTAGATCCTAGATGTATCAAATTGTAGTAGTTTTCATGATCAAAAAATGTAATTTCATTGTAGTGACCAAATATTTTTTTCTTTGTAGGAAAGGATTGAGGCAAAGAAAATCCACACAGGTCTGCTGAAAAATGTCCACATTGAACTAATGGTAAGGGCACACTAATGTTTGACATTGCTATAGCTGATGTAGACAGTCTTTATCCTTGACTTTAAACATAAACTTCTGTAATAAGAATAAGAATAAAGAATTTCTTAATAAGAATTAAGTATAACAAATTCTTATTTTGTGTAGCATTCAAACTTCTTTTCTTACAATTTAGAATTTGGTGAAAATGGAAGAAAAGACAACAGAAAAGAGAACAGTTTCAAGTACATTAAAGGTACAATTCAGATATACATGATACAAATCATTAATTCATTCGTGTATATTTTTATCTGATATACGTACATTTATTGTTTTCATTCATAGAAGAATATATTTCATTTCAGGTTTTGGCAGACACAGGAAGACAATTAATTGACAGGATTTTGAAGTGTTTCCAATGGTTTTAAATCAAACAAAAGTGTTGCACCCATGGACGATTTTTTTTTCATTGAACTTAATACTTTTTTAGATTAAACGTAATTAACCTTTGACTGAGTGTTTTCTCTTTTTTCAAGCATTTGTGTGGTATATTAAGAGATATGAAATTATGGTGTGGTCTAGCAACCAAAAGAGTATGTAAATGAGATATTTAAGAAAGGTCCATACTTTTATGGATCCGGTTTTAATTTTATACACCTATTATAAAACTCCAATTGTCAGTTTTCTATTGAAATGACAAGATGTGATTGTGAAACACTAATGCCCCCATATATGGCAGCACATGGCAAAAGTTAAAGTTTCTTAAATGCAAGTCACTTAAATCAAAGGTTAAGAGATCACAACTGTTGTTACCAAAGAAAGGACTTGTCTCAATGAATACATTTATTCCTATGGAATATGTGGAATATGAAAGCACAATTCAAAAGTTAAAACCAAAGTTTAAGTTTTTAGAAGTAGGCTACAGTGTTTTAACAGTAGCTCAAACTCCATGTTCAAGATAAACTGCTCAAAATATTTGGTATCCAAGGAAGGTCATGTCAAGAGAAATACACGTGAAATATAAAAGCATAAGTACTGCATGGTCAACATTTATGGAAAAGGTTAAATTTAAAAAAACTAAGCCAAACTCTAAGGTGTCACCCTTGTGAAGCAGTGGTTAGAGAGTCTGCTATAGTCGCAAAGTAATGAGTTAATTCTTACATCGTGGGTTCGAATCCCACTGTGGGACGGTCCTTCGGATGAGATTGTATAAACCGAGGTCCCATGTCACAGTAGGTTCCGGCTCAGTGGTTCTTGAGAAGCAGATTTTTAAAGATTTTTCCTGTATATTTCAATGTAAAAATTGGATTCTCTATTGTGGCCCCACCCTACCCCTGGGTGTCATGATTTTAATAATTTAAAATCTACACAACCCCAGGATGCTTCTACATAAGTTTCAAATTTTCTGCTCCAGTGGTTCTTGAGAAGAAGATTTTTATTGCCCCTACCCTATTTTCTTCTTTTCTTGATTATCTCCCCTTGTACTTGGGGACTTGGCCCTTCATTTTAACGAGTTCAACTTCCCTTCATCCAAGGATGCTTTGTACCAAGTTTGGTTCAAATTGGCAAAGCGGTTCTTGAGAAGAAGTTGAAAATGTGAAAAGTCTACAGAACGTTTACAGACCACATACAACGGGTGATCAGAAAAGCTCACTTGAGCTTTCAGCTCAGGTGGGCTAAAAACTACATGTATATAGTATAATATACATCCAAAGCTTTGATTATTGGGCTTTAAAACAGAGAAGGAAACATACTTAAATCTACACTTCCTAAGAATGCTTTTGAATTAATTTGACACATAATGGCTTTGTTGTTTATTCTAATGATCCACTTTAATGATGCTTTTAAATTGATGATCAATCATGGCTTTGTGAAAAATTGTAACAATATACTATATGAAATACCCCAAATCTTTGATTATTCAAGGATGCTTCCATATAACTATGACCAATCACAACTTTGCTGTTCTCAAGAATTTATAAAGATTTTTTCTAGGTAATCCTACTTTATCACCCATAATGCCCCCACCCTTGCTCCAGGGGTCATGATTAACCAAACTTGAATCTTCAGTACCAGAGGATGCTTCCATATAACTATGACCAATCATGGCTTTGCTGTTCTTGAGAAGAAGATTTTTAAAGGTTTTTCCTAGGTATTCCTATGCTAAACTTTGATACCCCATTGTGGCCCCACCCTACCCACGGGTGTCATGATTTGAACAAGAGGCCCAGGGGCCACATCGCTCACCTGAACAACTAGCAAGGTAAAAGCAAAAATCAGTTCAGTATTGAAAAGTTTAAATGTAATATAAAAGTGGGTTTGAATTAATATGATACATAATGACTTTGCTGTTTATCCTAATGATCTACTTTAATGATGCTTTTAAATTAATGGCTTTGCTGTTCTTAATTTTAAAGAATTTTCTATATATTTCTTTATAAAATGGCTTTGTGAAAAATTGAAATGATTTTTTCCTGGCACAGTGGTTCTTGAGAAGAAGTACCACCAGATTTTCCTATGTAAAATGTGGGCGTGGCCCTTCATTTGAACAAACTTGAATCCTCTTCACCCAAGGATGCTTTGTGGCAAGTTTTGCAGCGGTTCTTGAGAAGAAGTCGAAAATGTGAAAAGTTTACGGACAACTCTACCAAAATGTGATCAGAAAAGCTCACTTGAGGGCTCATAAACAAGAGGCCCATGGGCCACATCGCGCACCTGAGAAGCTTTGACCATTCTGTTCTTTACCAACTTGTTATACATAATGCATCCCCACTGATCATAATTTATTTAGACATTTTGAAATCTACACTACCCCATGATCCTTCCATAGCACATATGTTTCAGCTTTATTGGCCCAGTGGTTCCTGAGAAGAAGATTTTCAAAGATTTTTCCTATATATTTCTATGTAAAAATTTGATTCCCTATAATGCTCCCCCGGGGGTCATGATTCTCAAAGAATTTACCCCAGAATGCTTCCACATAAGACTTTTTCTGGCCCAGTGGTTCTTGAGAAGAAAATTTTCAAAGATTTTTCCTATATATTTCTATATAAAAATCCTGAACAATTTAGAATCTACATTATCACCCATAAGTTTCAGCTTTTCTGGGCCCCAAAGACCTATGTAAAACTTTGATTCCCCATTGTCCAGGGGTCATGATTTGAACAATTTAGAATCTACACTATACCAGGATGCTTCCATAAAATTTTCAGCTTTTCTGGCCCAGTGGTTCTTGAGAAGAAGATTTTCAAAGATTTTTCCTATATATTTCTGAATAAAACTTTGATTCCCCATTGTGGCCCCGCCCTTCCCCCGGGGGCCATGATTTGTATTCCTACCCCAGGATGCTTTAAGTTTCAGCTTTACTGGCCCAGTGGTTTTGAGAAGAAGATTTTTTAATGACCCCACCCTATTTTTGTCCATCTCCCCTTGTGGTCCCCATTTTAACAATTTAAATTCCCCTTTACCAAGGATGCCAGTGGTTCTTGAGAAGAAGTCAAAAATGTGAAAAGTTTACAGACGGACAGACAGACGGACGGACGACGGACAAAATGTGATCAGAAAAACTCACTTGAGCATTCGGCTCAGGTGAGCTAAAAACTTGAATCTTCAATACCTGAAGATGATTCCACATGAGTTTTATCTTTCCTGGTCCAGTGGTTCTTGAGAAGAAGATTTTTAAAACATATCATAAATTTATCACTAATTCATAATTATCTCCCCTTGGAAGAGTGCATGGCCATTTATTTGAACAAACCTGAATTCTCTTCTCCCAAGGATACTTTGTGGCAAGTTTGATTGCAATTGTTGAGAAGAAGATGAAAGTGTGAAAAGTTTACATGCCAACAACAAAGACGCCAATGCCAACAACAACAACGACAGACAACGGACAAGTTTTGATCAGAAAAGCTCACTTGACCCTTCAGCGCAGGTGAGCTAAAAATACTGAGCTTAGAGTTGTAGGCTTCAGCTTGACAAATCAAGCAGGCTGTTAATCATACGAGTAAAATGGAAACATTTTTAAAAGAAATTTATTTTCTTCTTGAAAAAATGTACACAATTCAACATTGAACAAATTTCAAAAGTATACTTAATCACCATCAAAAAATACAAATACAAAGAAAAATCAGCCTCTGATTAAATGAATCTAATGGTTTTAACATTTTCATTAGATATGTGTTCAAAATAGAGTTTTATTTAAATATTCCTATGCAAAATCTTAAGAACTTCAAAATAATAATGTAAATAATTACAAGTATAATAAAAAGTGAAAGATAAATATATATTTTTAAAATGTACTTGAAATATGTTTATTAATAAAATCTTAAACAATTGCGGACTGCAAATATATCTGCTAATGGAAAAGAGCCTCAAAATTATTACATGTACATTAAGATATTAACTTATTTTGAAATTAACAAACAATTTTTTTATTCAAGTTTATTTTCTTCTCACAACTCCACTATTATACTCTGGCTAAATAAGCCATGTTTGAAAAAAAAAAAAAACCCACCTTTTCCCTTCAGATTTCAAGAAAGGTGTTTTAACTGACACTATATGAAGCATAAGTAAAACAATAATCTTTTTCAAAAAATGCACAGATGCAAGTGTATCTGGTTATTTTTTTGCTGACAAATTTTAACAGTCTACTAAAAGTAATATCAGAAATATTTCAACGTATTTATATTCCTGGTAAAACTCCTTTTTCATGTAAACATAAAAATAATATCAACAAATAAAGTCCAGATGTCATCCCTGCATATTAAAATATCTTGATCATAAACATTTTCATAAGAACATGCAATAAGACATGTTAACAACAGAAATCAATTAATTATTAGTACGTACATCAAAAACAATAACTTAATACTATATAAAGTCCTACACAATTCACATATATACACAACTGAAATAATATACTTCAATTCAAATGAAGAATCTTTACGGCCATTAACCATCATTATGTATATACAATTGACTCTTTTAATTTTTTTGTACCCTGTGAAACAATCTCAAATATGAAGTTTCACATGAGTTCACAATGTTGATTTTACAGCAAAGAATCATGGACAACTATATACAGAATACTATGAATTTTCCATTCATACTATTATAATTTCTGTCATATCACAATATGATCATGAAAATCTGCATTATTTTCATGGAAACTAAGTGGTTTCCAAGTCTGAATTGACCCCTGACTACGACATAGGAAGTGGTTTAATGACCCCTGACCCCTGGTTTTTGGAGGGAACTTCCAGGTATGTGGCAGAGAAGCCCTTCCAGTTGATTGTGTCATCAGATTTAAACCTCACTAGTAGATTCTGTTCAGAAGAAATTATTTCATCTGGAACCTGGCAAAGAAATATCTTTCTTCATTATATATGACATATGAATTAAATAATATAAATTGGTGATAAAAAATCCTGCACACTGGAAAACTGCCCAAACTCAATATCTAGTACATAATTATAAAGACTTACCTCTCTCTGTACATAATAAAAATATATAACACCTAACATACTTTAGGTCAAAATCTCATAACAAGGTTATTTTACCTTATCTGTAGATATGATTCCATTATACAGTAAAATTAGCTTATATAGAAGTACCAGGTACAGAGGCTTTTGCACAATATGGTTCAGAACCAAGAGGAATGAAACTCACTTCTCTGTAATTGTCAATTCATTATAAGCAAGGTCATTATAAGTGTGTTTTACTATACCTTGCTTCCACAGAATCTTCCCAGTCCAGGACTTGTATCTGCTTTCCCATCAAACACCTCTACATTGTCATACCTACAATACAATGATGAAATTTGAGTTTGTTAAAAGAATAGTCATTTTACACGGTACTACACTATTAAAAATTTATTTTCATATTTTTTCATGATTATGATGTTTCTTGAATGGGTTACAACTGTGGAAAGCTAGGAGAGAGGTGATAGGGCATTATCTAATACACCCATTGAAAAGGATGACCAAACTGAAAATTTTTCTTTATCAGTAAGATGAATTGATTTTAAAAATCCACAAAAAAGCAACATCTTCACTAGATTCCTCAGTTAAAATGAATCAGAGGAAATTTTGCTATCTTTCACTTCTGTAACATAACCCTTTTCAATAAAAAGCACTGACACTTGTACTATTTGAAAATAACTAACCCACAATCACTTTCATCCTCAATCTCAAAAGTGTCAAACTTAAATTTGACATGATGTCCAGGGCTGGCTACAATTTGCCATTCACACTCCATTTTGTTGTCATAGTTCTGGTCACCATGTTTAGCATGTGAAAACAAGCGTGTACTGGTTTCCTTGGCAACAAGGACTCCTCCACAAACTGCAAATAATATATATAACGCAAATAAAGACATAAATAATACAAAATCATACAGTGTAGTACAGTGAAACTTACTTATAGTGAAGTGCAAGGGACAAACATCACATATTCAATACTCCTGTTAAGTTTCTTAAATGGTTAAGGGGAACAAAAACTTTCTTTCTGATTATTTCATCAGTGGATTTCATAAAATATGAATCCAGTGCAATATGTAGTAATGCACCAAGATAGTACATATGTGTATCTTTAAGATATCACTCAAAAGTAAAAAAAAATTCTGGTCCACCAAGTATTTTATACATACTTGTCTTGTGACTTGCATGGAATCCTTTCCTTTGTACTGAGGCATCTGAGTAGAAAACCATATACATCTCATTACCACTGGAGGTTATAGGATGAGGGAGCTTGCTGCCACAGTATCTCCCTAGACTATGACTGTTAATGTTTTTGCCATCAAACACTTCAATATGGTCGTACGTGCATTCCTGGTGTGGTTCCAGTTCGAAGTTGATGAAGGTGAGTCTGACTCGGTGCCCAGGGGTGGTGGTGAAGTGCCACACACAGTCCTTACGACTGGGGTAAAAGTCAGGCCAGTTGGGACTGCTGATTTCTCCCTCCGGATCTTTGATCTTGTGCTGACATCCCCCTGTTTAAAAAGATGAATTCATACATGTACTATTTACGGTAAACCTTACTATAGGAATATATGCTTTTCCATAGGAATGTATGTGTAAAAACAATGTAGTTGGAGGGACTATTATTTTTACATCTCATTTATATTGTTAATTTTGATAATTATGCAAAAACATTAGCGCACTGTACCAAAATGTTCTTAAATGAGTCAATGAAAAAAGTCCTTATAGAACTAATAACCCTCACATGACAACCACAGAAAAGACATTCTTTTGAATTAGCTTATAGAAAAGAACACTGCAGTCTTGCATAAAATCCCAAGTACAGCATGCATCTTATTAAAATGTAATTGATTGAACACTGCAGGCAACTTTTGTATTGACTATGAAATATGACCATCCATAGTCCTAGCATTAAATCACTTCTGTTACAACCTTACGGTGATTAAACTTCTGAAATATTGATTATGACCTTGGCTTCATGGCTAGGATTCCTGATAGATCTCTTGGTTAATATAAGTGATGTTTTTGCCAAGTATGACTTTCTCATCGTTCCCCAATTTAAGATTTTGTCTTTAAGAGAATCCAAGAGCATCTGAATTTTGACAATTTTGAACTTTTGTAGGACCTTGATTTCATCTAAAAGATCTTTATTAAAGGCAATGAAATAGCTTTTTATTATAATTAAAACTGTGTGCATGCATAATCTTTTGAAGTCAATCAATTTCAAAATCATGCTATAGACAAACAGAGTTTTCAGAATTTTTTCCCCAAACTCCATGTAGGGGGAAATATGACCCATCCAGGTTTTCCATGTTTAGAGATCAAGAAAGAATTAAAGAAATATTCTGCATTTACTTCCCTTGCCATTTAGAAGTGTAAAGCTGTTACAGATTTTTTACCTTCTTTACAGTCGTGTTTGTTCTCATGAAGAGTAAATCCATTGTGACAGGCACACTCATAACTTCCCACTGTATTCTTACAAACATGCTGACAGCCACCATTGTTTACAGCACACTCATCCTTATCTGCAAGAGAAACCAGGTATTTATCATTTATTGAGTTCATTAATCATTCAAGAAAAAAGCTATATTGATACCCACTACATAGTATCCGATCCATGCAGATTTCTTTTCACATATCTCAAGTTTTCAGACATACTTGAATGTAATAATAATAATAAAAAAGACTTTCATCTCTGTTAAACAGATACAAGGATTCATAAGCAGTACAAAATTTCTAGAAAAAATTTCATTTTCAGGCTCTATTTCATCTACATTAAATCATATCTCTATTTGTACTTTCTCAAATTTTCTAAGATACTTTCGAATGCCATAAACAATTAAGTGTTAATTTCATCAAATTGAAAATACAGTAGCTTTGATTTTTATTTTTACCAGTGAAGAAGCGAGCATGGAATCCAGTTTTCTGGACTGAGTTATCTGAGTTGAACTCAATCCTTAATGTATTACTCTCTGATGTGATGGAGGAAGGAAGAGTAGATCCACAGTAAATTCCGTGGATGACTGAATCCCGTCCCACTCCACTGCTCACACGAATTGAATCATACTCACAGTCTTGCTAAATTACGAAAATATTTTATAGATTATTTAAATACTTGGCATTAAAAGTAATTTACAGGCAATAAACAAAATCATTTTCCAAAGTATAATTGCATTAACACAGAAAGTACCAATAATCTCACAATTAAGCACATTCTAAAATTCCCTCTATGCAGTACAAGACAACATTAGTTCACTATATTTCATTTCTCCCCATTGATAAGACTTACATTGTTGCCCTCCATATCAAAGTGGGAGAAGTTGAGGGTGATACGATATTGGTCTGGGGCCACGATCTGCCATACACAGTTCTTGTTGGGAGGGTACAGGTCAGGGAAGGAGGGGCTCTGTATGGTGCCATTGGCCTGATCAATGTAGCCCCCACAAGCATCTACAATGATAATTCCTCATTCAGAATATTTCTTTGAAACATGTCAACAACTACATGTAATTATAACGCTTTTGTGAGTTACTATTTTGGACTAAGTACAAATGTATATAAGTACATAACCTTACAATTATGATTTGATCTCCTTTTATGAAAATATTTCAATATTTAATAAAATGTGACAGAGAGAACTTTGAAAAACAGACAAATAAAATTTCACAAGCAGACATCTCAGAATTTGATGGATTTGACATAATATTTACCTTCACACTTTTTGCCATCAGAATGTAGTTCATACCCAATTTTACATTCACATTTGAAGCTGCCCAGGGTGTTGACACAGATATGATCACATCCATGATGATCTGTCGCACACTCATCATACTCTTAAAAAATATTGACAGAAGTTTAATATTTCACTTCTGAAACAAACCTACTTTTTGTTAAAACCAAAACACCACATCATTTCAAATATGAAAAACAAGCTTCAAATTTTTCATTAAAATAAATTTACCTTTCACAAATGAGGCTGCAAAGCCTAATTTTTGAACGGAACCATCTGAGACAAATTTAACGAAGAGTGTGTTTCCTGAGGACTTGACATCTTCAGGGATCTTGTATCCACAGAATCTGCCAAGTTCTTTAGAGGTAGGGTCAGGTCCGTCTCGGATTTCTAGGTAATCATACACACAGTCATCATGGCTCTCAATCTAAAAAGAAACAAGTTATTTCACTGAATAAATTCTCTGTGCATGCAGTTTAAAACATGTAAATCTATTGATTTTCTTCTTCAAATTTTTATCCTTTACATGTTTAATATATGTCAACTTTGCAGTAGTTTCTGAATTTAATATCAATAAATTAAAAACAAAAGTCCACTTAATGTTTGTCTTTTTCTGAACAGTTTCAGAGGGCTGGCACCAGAAAACCATAGGAAATCTTAGTACTAAGGGCAGTAACTCTTCCATTCCAAATTTCCTACCTCGAATGACTGGAATTTGAGAGCTACAGAATAGTCCTTGTCCACCGTGATTTTCCAGACACATTCCTTGTTAGACTTGTAATCATCAGGGTAGTTAGGGCTGGTCAGCTGACCCACATCTTTGTGGATCTCACCACCACAAATAGCTGCAAGTATAAATAACCAAAAAAAAAAATGAATTTTTTTAAAATTAAATTGATTTTTAAATTAAAATGAAATGTACTGTAGAAGCACATATTTTCGTGTGGATAAAATTGTTAGCCATTATATTAGATATATTTTATTTATGATCAAGAAATTAGGAAGTTATCAGATGCATTTTGTAGTGTGATTTGCCTCAATATGATGATGCTGCAAAATGCTATTTTTTACATTAATTTTATCAGAATTCCGCTGCATAAATTTCTGACGAACTAATTAGACATAATTAAAGGAAAATTATTCCAAGGCCTACATTTAATTAGTTAAGATTTGATTATACTTGCTATAAAAAAGGAAAATAGGTCCAAATTGGTAGCATATTTAAACTACGGGTAAAAGAGCAGTAAAGTGTAGGCGGAATCTGATATTATCATGTCTTGTCTAAGAAATGGGCACTCTAACAAGAAATTTGCTCATCAATTTGCTATTAATACAAATCAATAATGTATCTTCAATATCATGTATTTTTTAAAAAGTCTGTGCTCTTAAGTAACACTTCACCACATCTTTAATTCAACCAAAGTAAGAAAAACATATATTGTCAAAATACCAGACATGCCTGAAAGGAATTTTCTATCAAATTATCCTAAACATGCTGCTGTGTTTGGATTGAGTCAGAGCCATTTTTTAAAAACATTTTACAAATCAAAATGGAAATTGAAATGTAAACTATATCTGGTATATGAAATTTATTACATGCAAATTAATATGCAGTTATGTATCTTGAATAGGCATTTTATAATCGAAATTACCAAGTGTAACACTGACAAAAAATTCCCATGAAAATACTCAACATTTAAGGTCTGGTGATAGTATTTCGAAAAGTATACAGTCTACAATTCTTTTAATTTTTCACTCTATAATCAAGAAAATCTAGCCATTACAAATTTCTCCCTCACACAGCAGGTGCTACTAATATTCCAAAAATCCCAGCAAAAAAACACCTGTACCCAGGATATATATTTTTCCCTCCTTGTACAATTTATTTGTTACATCATTTCTATGGACCTGTAAGGAGATCACAGGCTGGTTAATTTGCACTTGAGCCTTTCCTGTTAGGGTTCATTCTAATCAAAGTCAGGTAATAAGCCATCATCACTTTCACAAGATTACTTAGGCAATGTGGGCACAGATGGCAAAATAAGCCATGCAATGGCAGGGGAAAGAGAGAGGGAGCGCACCTGGAAATTTGGCATCACCACCACTGTGCCTTGTTGTGATGAAATTTTCAGGTGATTTGTCGACAGATGAGCCTGAAGTTGCTTTCATTAGGTTTCCCAGTTAGGTATTGCTATTTAGGTTTGCTACCTGTTGGCTTTGGCTGATGAGTTCGAGCCAGAATCTCTTGGAGTACGAATGATTCAGGGACTTGTACTTAAAATAGGATGAAATTTTTCAGTGAAAGATGGCAGGATATCTGCCTGTTGCATGTACATACTGTGTGATATATTTTGTTTATTTTCTCTCAGGGTGTTTCATTTTATGTCAGCATACTTTTAAGTTCTCTAACACTGGTATACAAGATTGTAGATCTAATTGCATTCATGCAAGGAATCCTTTCATAAAATTTTCTCTCTTTACAATATATACAAGATAAGTCAACACAAAACCCATACTTGGAAACTTTTAATTATGATTTACACCCACCTTGCATATAATGCTTCTTAAGTTATTTCTCTGTCTGAACATTTTAAAACTTTCAAACATAAGAAATGCTCAGACTACAATCACAGCACCTACATCTTTAATTTTATTTCCTTCGTACCTTCATACTGAGCAGAGAAGCCTGTACCCCCATTTCCATCTGAGGTGTGATACTCGAGCCACATTCTGCTGTCTGTCGATATAAGTGTGGTGGGGGCATTGTCTCCGCAGAACCGACCTATCAAATATCAGAGAATAAATACATGTACATCATTCTAAATCAATCAGTCAAGACTGTATTTTACTTCAGAGTTGTTAAGTAAATGTCTTCTTTAAGATGTATTTATCTCAACATCCATGATTGATCTGTCTGCTGTCTAGTCTTAGGTGAAAAATTGCTGCATCTTTTTTAACCATTCTAACACAGAATATTGATAAAAGATGTTGAGAGGGAGAGAAAAAAAAAGTTTTCTAAAGTTATAAGCATTTATAATCTTTACAAAACTAACTAAAAAAAAACTGATTTACAAATTAAGGCTTATAAAGCACATTTTTTTCAAATTATATTCAGAATCAAAGGTTTGACCTTGACCTTTGACCTTTTGACCTTACCTAAGAGAGGAGACATGATAAAATGTCCATCCCTGACTTCAAGGTAGTGCTTCTCACATTGGACAGAGCCTGGGATGTCCAGCTCGGTCAGATTTAAGACAATTTTCTCCCCATGAGTGGCTGAGATTCTCCACTGACATGTTGCTGGTTGGCCAGGGGTTGGGGTGTATGAAAATTTATCTATAGATTCCTGAAGTGTGCGTCCACATGCTGAAAATAGTCAAAAAGGATCAGTTTATTTATATTGTATTATGAAAGTTGGCTTTCTCAGGTATTTACAAGAGCTAGGAAACATATTTTAAAAAGAAGATATCTCAAATATGACAAATACAAGGTTTTGTTAACAAAAATTTAAAATCTTAAAAATGATTTAACTTTAATGTTGCTTTGGTTAGATATTGTGATTGATAGCTTCTCAATTATTGACGATTCTAAACAATTAATCCATGAATTTAATATTGATCCAGTATTGTTCATCAACTTAAGTACACCTGTGGCATTATAAATTAATTGCTTGCTATAAAGATTTCTGACACAGTTAAAATTCAAACCGATAACATCATGACCGCAAAACCACAAGATTAGTAAGAAATTCGATATCCGAGTACAATATTTATCAAGGAGAGGGGACCCATTAGCTTACTATCAGCCGGAGTTAAATTAGGTGTGCTGATCACCTATGGGTGCCTAATTAGGTGTGGAGGTGAATTAACCCAGCACACTGTGTCACTTGTTCACCATTGAAAATAGGAACTCCAAGTCAGAGTTTCTCTTTTTTCCTCACACTTGGTCTCATCCTGGCAGAGGCCATTATGGGTGACAAACTTCAGATTCCTTAAGATAACACTGTCTTGTGCTTAAGAATTTTTGATGACAAGAAAATAAAAGAGAGACACGACATGCTGAGGATTTGTCAGAATCAACACAAGTTTTCTCTGTGTAGTGAAATTGTACCTTCTGAATACACACTAGAATAAATACTCGAAAAATTTACCACACAGATGCATAAATGGATCAATTACAACATTTTTTTGGTCGGAAAAAATTTGCAATAAAAGATTAATTCTATTTTTTTCTCGTGATTTTGTGATAGATATACGAATAGTTTTAAAGCTTGAGTTAGTTTTATGAATGCAGTTACTAAATTGGTTATCAAATCCCAATCATATATGCAAAAATGTACATTTTTTGTGATAGCCTGGTTATTATTACCCAATGCTTGATGCTTTGAACTATTTTTTATATAACAAACCTGCTGATGCAGTGGTTTTCAAACTCAGAATTAATTAACCATTATTTCTACCTGAAACTGAATTCACCACAGAATTTGAACTTTTTCTTTTAACAAAATTAGTTTGATAAACTCTCAGTTGCTTTTTGTGTTTCTATGTGCAGCTGTTGTGTTCTTTGATTTTTTTTTTATAACTGCATTCCATATTTACCAAATATTCATTGTACGTATTGCCCCAATCCTTTTTTTAAAATTAAAAAAATGTAATTCTAGCTAAATGATGTCTTCAAAATTAAAGTTGCAATATTCTGTGAATTTTTGTAACTGCAATTTCACACTACATATACAGTCAAACCTCAATATCTCGAACTTGAATGGGTGCAAGAAAAAACTTTGAGACATTGAGATAGGGAGTGTAAAAATACTTAAAATGTAAGTTGTTGAGACTTTGGAGTCACTTCAATATATCTATAGTATTTGAGATATCAGTGTTTAAGAAGTTCTACTTCATATAAAGCTTGAATTTTCCAAGGCAAACATACCTGGACATTTATAGAGTTTGTTGGCTTGTGCCACATCCCCTGGACTGAGTTTGACTCTCTGTCCAATCTCTGGACGGACAATCATCTCTGGCTTTTTCCGAGGTAAGATGGTGTCCACGTAGGTCGCCCTAGCAAAGGTGTTCCTAGCATAGTGCATAATGCTGCCGTAGTCGTAGGCCATTCCGAGAGAGTTCACCTCGCTCTCTGTTAGCTTGTTAAAATTGTACTCCTGGCCTGAAATCAAATTAAATACAAATATGCTTTAGTACAACCTATGTATTGACAAGGTACAAAAATTCTATGGAGGAGACAGCTAGTTTGGTGCTTTTCTTCAAGTTTGATAATATACATGCAAGACATGTTGCAACGACAATTTTGAAAAAAAAAACATTTATGTGCTAGCAAATTGCACAGCACAGCTACTACCATTATATATATACATAATTAAGGAACGATATACGGGGGGGAAAGAAATTTTATGAAGAAATGCATACTCTGGTCTAACTTTTGAATAGATACAATAACACAAAAAATACCAAAAATAGTATTCAGTATCAGCTACATTTAGTCAAAATAACCTTGGAAAATTTATCTGCTACAAATTTCTTTTTATACAGCTTTATGTCAATGTGCATTACAATTATCTAAGATAAATCACAAAAAGATACAACAAGAATTTGGTGAAACAGTAAATATTTTTACTGTTTCCAAATTTAAAGCACTTAAACATAGCAAGCATAAAGGACAGTAATAAAAAACTCTGTATTTAACTTTCAAAGATAGAATCATGAACATTAATTGTGTAGAAAGTGACAGAATTCAGAACATTAATTCGACAGAAATGAACTAGTTTGTATTTACAGAATCATTTCTAAACCACTATTTTGTCTGGCAATAGAACAAAATTATCTACCAGTTCCATAAAAATTCATTGCATCCAAAAACAAAATTAAACTAATTGGATAAATAACTTTGAGTAAAAGACATAATGGGCTGTTAAAATGCTAAGAAATAAAAATAAAGTTTCAACCAAATTAGCCATTATGATTTCTGAGGTTAATCAGACAAACATCTGAGGAAAGAGTCGGTGTTAATAGTGATATAAAAAAGCTAAATATAGGGGGGTATAGCTTTCTCTTCAAATGCAGATTACATTGGATGTATAATTATAACATCTTATTGAACGAAAGAATGAAGAGCAAGGTTTCCATGTAAAATAACTTGCACTCAACCGAGCACAGAAAAGGTACATTAGACACACATATTGATATAAACTCAGCTCACCAAAAAAAAAATCTGTATCATTACTAATGCCAAACCTGGATCCAGGTTCATGTTGTTTTGAGTTTAATTAACGTCATAATGTTTGCTTTGCAATGCATTACCTCTGAGATGGTTTACTTAATGTATAGGAGAAAATTTTCCGACTATCCCTCCTTGAAAGTCAGCATGAGGCACAAACAGAAATTTGTGTGTACTATATATCTTATCCCCTCACATGAAGACATTAATTATTGTACCCCACAACCCTTCAGTGAGTAACATTTAATGTTTGCAGCAGTCACATTTCTCTCAGGTGAAGTTATAGTTGTATGCACATAACCAAGATACCTCTGAGTGAGCATCAAAAAGAAAATATCATTCCCAGATGGTTCAGCGTTACACCTGTGGCAAGTTTTTACTTATCTAAAGTATACAAATAATGCTCTCCCCAGCTTTCCAGGCCATGTGACTGCTGAACCTATAATTCTCTCAAATATAAATTTCATACAGTCAAACTTTGTTTATAGGGTGAATCTCCTAAAGGCAGCTCATTTGTTAATTATTTACTAAGTATTTGTTGTTTTTTAAACTTATTCAAAGTCTATAATTGTGTCTTTTGAGGAAATTAGAGTATCCTTTTCTTTATGTATATCTTCTCTCTTTAATCCCATCTTCAATAAATGAATATCAGACATGGAAAAAATAATTAATGTACTGTAGAAGCTAGTACTTTTTTTCCGTGTGGTATTATTTCATGCTTTGTACATGGTCACAAACATTCTGGGGAAATTTGTCCGATTGTACTTTTATAATATACAGTAGTAGAGTCTAAGAAATCAGCATATTTTCCTACCCGCAGATGAAACAGAAAAAAGATTCTGCGGAAATAAGGCTTTGTGCAAAAAAGTACATTTACAGTATCTTACTAGAGTTTATTTAGAATCATTGTGTGTTTTTTACATGGATTTTCTGTGTGTAGTACATACCATCGTATGTGTGGTTCTGAGCAATTGACACAAACATAATGAAGACATCCACAGAAACTATTTACCACATGCCTATCTGCCTTATAACTATTGTGTTTCCTGGAGAACACTTGTTTACCATCAATCTACGCTTGTTATTAGAAGAGAAATTGATACACCGAAAAACAGGTGGTTGAATCATTAGGTCAAGTTTACCACTTGGAATAAGTACATGCACCGTGAATTATTGCTTCATCTTGAGGTAACAAGAACATTTAGAAGCCTATTTTGAATAAAGAAAAAAAGAGCTGCATCTTCAAACTTATTTTTTAGCCTATTTTAAACAAAGAAAGTAAGAGGTACAGTTTCAGACATGTTTTCTTTCAATTTAAACCATGACCTATGCCCACTTTAAAAAAGCTTTTAACCAGAAGACTGTAGAAACAAGTTTGCAAAGAATGCTTAGATCATAATTAACAGGTTAATTTTTCATATTTAAAGCCTTTCATGTTCTTCTATCTGCCGCAGACTGGTGTAATATTCTAGAGTGTTTTAGTTGAGAGAGGAAAATCATAAAAAATTATTTTTTTTTAGAATTGCCAAAGGTATTGAAGTATCGATCATAGAAAACATATATTGTTTGTATTTTTCGAAGAAACGCAAATTCAGATATGAGCAAATTCAGCAAATGTGAAATATATTAGCCAAAAAATATATAAAATAATCATTTTTTGTGGCCAGTGAACTTACGATTCAATACTACTTCTCCCTTACCCGGCATGATATTTTTGTAGATAATTTGCACGTGCTGATCCCGATCAGGGCGAGTGTGCTCGTGCCAGAATCCTACCACATGGCCCAACTCATGCACAACGATCCCAAATTTGTCACAATTTTTTCCAATTGATATGGCCTGGGCACCATTCCCTCGCTTACCCACAAAAGAGCAACACCTAAAAAATAAAAATTTTAAAATGTATTCTGAATTTCATTGTGCCAATAAACTGAGACTCTAAAAATAATAGAAGATACATGTATAAGCTTGCAGGGAAGAAAATGTGATGGAAATCTTGTGTATTTTTTTGGACACAAAAGGGGGGCCTTGGACCAAAAGGGTTCGAAATCCAACCATGGCTTAAAACTCTAGACAGATTTTTTACTAAAAAGAGGTTCCTGGCCACAGGTGAACAAACCTGCCTGACTGCTACATTTCTTTCATCTCGGATGACACACAACTCACAGTTGTCCTTGGCAGGGCTTTAGCCTGCAACTCTAGGGGCAGTAAATGGCATCAAATGTAACAAGAAGGGGAAAATACAATGGACAAGACTAGGGATTTGAAGCTGGTCCCCTTAAATCCTAGACATCCATTACCTGCACATATCAATATCAGTATGATCTCAAAACTAGCTAGGTTATAGTTTGTTCAAGTTCAATAATATAAAATAATTTCATTCTTCAAAATCATGTTGAAACATTTAAGTATTTGTATTGGCCAATTTGTTCATTAAAAATCTTTGCCAATATATATAAAATCAATATTAAGATGCTTCCATCCTTCAAATTATAATAGTGTTACATTTTATAAAGAATTGCACTGAAGATTATAAATGAACCTCCTTGATTTAAACCATTTTCTCTCTGCCAGCAGATAAACAGTATACAGACAAACAGAACCATCTAAATCTGTCCACCCTAATTTTTGTCTGAACTGTATTGAAAACAGAAAGCTGTATGCACGTATTCAATCTGTACAATATTAACTGGCAGCTGTATTAATCCGAATTTATGTCAGGAAATTAATAATCATATACTTGATGCATGCGGGCAAGAAAATTTCAAAAGTTTCCAAGTCTTAAAAAGTAATGTAGAAAACCTGTCTTATAAAATGGGGTTAATTTTCCAAGCCACATTGCCTACAAATTACCCTTCCTGCCATGTGGCCAATGTCTAGGGGCTATATAACACTAGTAGGAGTGAGATCATTTCACATGTCCGCAGGTCATTAAAGAAATGAGGCCTAATTCTTTTCATTCACTTCATTCAAGATCTGTAGATTCAAAACACATGATCAAAAGAGCTCCATTTCCTATGATTTTCCTTGTTTCAACTGAGGATTTTCACATTTAGCAAGGTTACAGAAGTACATAATGCAAATCCTACTTCCTGGATGGCTCACATTGAGCAAGGTTAGGGCAGTACATTTAGATATCCAATACTTTCCGGATGGGAAAAGGTTGGGTATATTTATACTTGTCTGAAGTAACTCATGAATACATAATGGAAAATATTCTCATCTCTGGTTACTAGGAAAACAAAATGCAAAGTAGATTTATAATGTTAGCAATGTTTTCTAGTCCTTACTGTATTTCACAATTAAAAAGAATAAAGCGCAGCTAATGTGACTTTAAATTCAATGATCTTGATATTTATAGCTAAGCAACTGGTTTTGTGATATTATTAAACTATCAAACCAAGATATTCAAGACGTGTAGAATATACAGTAAAACTCGTTTAGTACAAACACGGATAATGTGAATTCACGGATATAACGAAGTTATCTTGGATCCCCAACTATATATGTATATTTAACGAATTCCTTATACGGATATAACGAATTACGGATATAGTGAAGTAATTTCAGAGGTCCCAGTGACTTCGTTATAACCGAGTTTTACTGTACTTGTAGTTTGAAAGCACATTAAATCTGACAAGGACCACTGGACCAAAAACAGATACATGTATTGCCATATATTTCTGCAGAAAAACCAAATTCCTTTACATAACATCATCAACATGCATCCATGAAAGACATTATTAACTAATATCAATATAGGCAGTATAAAATGGTATCAGTTTAAAACAAATACCCTTACCCACATGGTCTCTCTGTAAACACAATGTAATTTTTGTGTTCGGGTTGTCTTTCTACAAAAGATATGCAGGTGTAGTTTTCCCAGTGTCTCATGGCTAGCTTGAACAGGGCTTTGTGCTGACCTGAAAAAAATCAGACAGTATTAAAGCTTAAATAATAGTCAAACAGAATAAAATATTCTGAAAAAGTTCTCCCAAAATTAAGCAGCTTCTTCAAAATTTTGTGGCATCTTGAAGGTAGCAAAAAATCGAAATTTGGCAAAAAACTATGACCAATCATTACATATAAAGTGACCTCACCGAGTTGAAAAATCAATTTTAATCTGCAAATTTTTATATAATATATTTTAGGAAACTGGAAAGTCACAGGATTATAAAGAAAAACAGAGAGGAATCTGTGGATAAAAGGTCCAGACTGCTGATTTCAAAATCACAACAAATGTCTTTTATCTAAGCCATCAGAATTTATGTAGAATCTACTATTGAAAGGTTTATCAGTTGAAATCAACACTGGCATCTTGTTAACAAGGATAAAACACAAGGAGGAAATAATTTAATCTTTCTCTTTTGACGTCTACTGACAGGCGAAGATTTAGGACTATAGGCAGCCAAAGTACATATTCTCAAAACAAACTTGCACACACTAATTGGCCTTATCTTTGCTTTAAAAAATGATTTTGAAAAAGAAGTTACAAGGCAAATATTTTCCTGTATCATGGATAAAGACCTAGCAAAGATTCCAGTGGTGAAAGAAAAAATCCCAATATCAGAAGCCCATACAAATACATCAATACTATTATGTGAAATGCACAAGTTTATACAAATGGCAATCTGCGTCTTAAACTTGGAAAATAATATAACTAACCATTTTTTTAATTAGTGGTTTATATTTATATAATCTTTACTTACCACTAAAGTTGGCCTCTATTTCATAAGGAATGACACCATAATCCCACAACCTTTCTGGCCTTGCGGTAGCTGCTCTCTTAGTTCGGGATTTGACCAATTTATCATTTTTTGAATCTCTTTTTAACTTTGATAACTTTTGCTTTTTCCTGAGTCTTTCTTGTTTTTTGAGAAGTCTTCTTTGTCTTCTCTCTTCCTTTCTCTTTAATTTTTCCTCCTTTCTTTGCTTTCGACGTATTGCTCTGCATTTTTTATCCCTATCAATGAAATCTACATTTTTAGCAAAGCAGTGCATTTATGATGTATATTTTCATCATATGCTTAATAATTACTGACAACATCATTATGTAAATCTCATCAAAGACAATCCCTCACCCTTTAGGACATCTGTTTTTCTTGTGTTTCTTTGACTTTTTATTCTTTTTATTTTCACCTTTGGGTTTATCTATGTCTTTTCTGGAAAGATATTTCTCTATTCTAGAATAATATTCTTTGTCACTATACTGTGATGCAGCACCTGGATCTTCAACTTGAAGTTCATATTGTTCATTTAATGAATCCCTGCTGCTGTTTTGTCGATTTCTGTAAAATTCTATGTCTTCATCTGCTAATGATATGTCGCCCCAAAATGCAACTGCAATAAATGAAATTAAAATGATTATTTTGGAAAGAGAAAATGCAGAAAGTTAAGCGGCATTTGCAGCGAGAAATTGTAAAATGCCAAATTGAATTGCTTATTCAGGTTAACAATCAACAGTTCATAGAAATTTAGCAAAAGTAGGGCAATTTCTGAAATTATCCTATAATCCATTCCTGAACAATCATTACCTCAGTTAAAGATTGATAAAAAATAAATAACTCTGTCAGTTTTTAATTCAGAAGATCGATCCTCAGAATCTTTATTCCACTAAAGTCTACAGACTAAAATTGCCATAAACCGATACATTTGCTGTTTTAACTGCAAATTATACATGTTATAGTTTGTAAAAGATCCTATAATTTTTAACAAGTGCAAAAATATTCCCTCTCACATCTATCTGTTTTAATTCTAGTTCAAAGCATGATTACCTTGCATTAATGTACATGTAAGAACATTGCTCTGTATTCTCTTCAGAGATCAGACTTCTTATGCGATAAACCCAAAGTTTTAACTCTATAGTTTGTAAAAGATGTATAAAGTAAAGCAAAACCCTAAGTTTAGCGTGTCTGGTCCTGGGCCCTCTGTGTTGTAGAAGGATATGCATATGCTACTTGTGAGAGGTGATTATTCAGGCAGCTTTACGGGTGGACAGAGCTGTGACTCAGATAAAATAAACATAACAGAGAGCAATGAAATACATCGCTATGTATTTTGCACAGCCTATTTCAGTCGAAAACAATCAAATAAGCTTTGTGGGCACCTCCTGTCTGTTCATAATTTCCCGCAACCGGAACACGATAAGTGAAAACTATTTTTCAACCCATGACGGTTAAAATATAAAAATCCGTAAAAAGAAACTGTCATTTCGTACTATTTCATTTTGTATCAAATTTACTGATTTTTCCCTCGTTCATTCTCAATTGCAATAGCATAGGTGATATGGCATTGTTTGTACAGTTACATTATATCAAATAATAATATTAGATGTAACTTCACAGCTGGGTTATGGACGTTTGATTAGTGTCATTGAACGTACTCTCCAGGGGACAGTGTCGTCTGCAATTAATTTCACGACTTCGGAGCGCGGGAATAGACCAGTAATGAGATTCTACTAAAGCCAAGCGAGGTGTTGAAACTGGTGATAACACGCCATCAAAAAACAACAAACTAATGGCCGAAAAATTAGCAAACAATCGATTAGTTTTACAGATAGACAAAAAAACTAAACAGGCTTTAACAACTTGCTAAGTTGATATCAGGCGCGGATCCAGAAATTTTTTCCAGGGGGGGGGGGGGTCCACCCCAGTCAAAAAATAAAATCCAATCCCAAAAATTTCTTGACAAGCAAAAAAAAAAAAAAAAAAACTTAAATAAACGTCAAAAACCTATTTCGGGGGTGGGGGGGGGGGTGGGGGGGTTAGTGGTGACTTCTATTGCCTCAAATCTATAAAAATTCACACATATGTTTTTAATACATTTTTCTGTTTTTAGTGATTATATGACAAATACAGTACATTAGAGACTTTTTTGTGCTATAAAAATTATCAATGTTTTTAAACATTTTTCTGTTTTTAGTGATTAATGACAACCAGTGATAAATTTCATTTTGTACACCAAAAACATAAGTACACATATTACATGTCTCAGATGATTTGCCGATTTCATCAACAATAAACAGAAAAAAATAATTTACATCTAAAATTATATCAATGCAATGACACCAGTTTTGGTCTGATAGGTTTGAATAAAAAAAATTGGAATGACAAATTTCGACTACATGTATAAAGAGAATTTCAGAGTGTCACTATAAATAGAATTTAAAAACAAACCTCTCCAATTTTGTATAAATTTAATCAAATCCATATATCATTCAAAAAATTGAATGTCAATAAAAACAAACAAACGTATATTGATCTTTGATATGTTGAAAGGTGTTTACACTTCCAGATGTAATGCTGACTAGTTTAGTAGTTATTTAATCTTAAACGTGCTTAATTTTTTTTTTTTTTTTTTACAAATTGTCTCTAGCAACGCATATCGAACAGACTCGAGATATTATACACGACAAGCTACTCCAGGGAAAAAATGTATTTCCAACTTCTTTTTAATTTCAGACTCCCTTTGTCTACTTGTAATTTTGAGCCAGATCCTCAACGACACCTTTTTGTCCGTTTTGCAAAATTGAGGGCGTGAAGTCCCAGTTTATTACAATATGCGTGAAATGATTATTTACAACAATGGACCCCACGTAATGAATTCTCACTCTTTCGTATAATACGTTTATCTTTTCTTCACTTTGACTTGACTTTTCGTCTCAAGACCACAGGGGTGCCCAGTCCATTATAATGTCGAGTCAATTAATGGAGTTGAGCGCGCATCAAAAAAGTTTCATTGTAATATTTGTTCTTAAGACTCTTTCAGATGTGTAATAAACTGTCAACATGACAAATTCTTTTTCGATGCCTGACTTTGAAGAAAGGCCGTGAAATTTGTATAAATAATTTGACTGCTGGAAGAGAATAGTTTCTTCGCTGTGTCGGAGTTGAATCTAATCATGCAGATACCCGCAGTTAATAAGATTCGCAGATATATCAATGGAATTATAGGTTTCTCACACCGTTGCAAATTAAAGGCGATAGATAAGACTTATCTTAACCAATTCTTTAAGTACTTTAATTAATAGACCTGCCACTATTTGCTTCCTTATCAGATTGCGCGATATCTCTTAGTAATAGGATTGCTTGTTGATCGACTCGAAAATAGTAGGGGGAATAAAACCAGGGTTGGGAGACAATGGAAGTCAGAAGGGGAAAAAGACAAGAAGTTCAATGAAGCCGCATGAATAACCCCCAGAATTTTGACAGAGAACCCCGTAACCTTTAGGAATCCACTAAATAAACTAATTAGTTTAAAAGAGGGCGTATTGAGACAGTACGCCGTAGGGGCCCTCTAGAAGCGAAAGCTGGCGGACCCTGCAGAAGTAAACACGAATCTCCTGCTGGGTTATTAAACTGAAGAAAGTTGGAAAACACACATGTTGAAAACTTCAGAGGGAAGAAAGAAAAAGAGATCTGTATCAAAGTCCTCACCCTTCCTAGATAAACAATTATCAAAAACAGAAAATGTTTGAATTAAAAGTTAGGTACACATTTAATTTTTCTCTCTATCAAAATAAATTGTAAAAGTTCATGGCATAGAAAGGGTTTCAAACCTGCTTTGCAAGGATCCAAGAAAATATCATTTGATGTTCTATGGCGTATATTTCGTATAACTCCTTGTATTTCCTGACCAAAGAGTACTATCACAATATAAGTAACAACAGACACGATCCGTGAAAATGTCATATTCAATAAATTGTATAGCACACAACTCCTCAACAGCACCAAGTATATATAACATGTAAATCCAGAACTCAAATGAATAACACTAGAGGCGTTCCGTACAAATTCATCTTTGCATAAAAAACTTAAAACTGCTTTGATTAACTATGACGGAGTTAGCGATATGTGATTTCATTTTCCTTACTATGAAACATAGTAAAGGGGGTGCAATGCTCCAAACGACCCGCGCCGACTCACACTCCAAGACGCATGGAACGTATCATGAATATTCATGTTTATCAGACTCCCAGAGCCAATGAAATTCGCTAAATGCTCTATGAATGGAAAAAGTATCACAATCTTTATGATTCCTTGTATCTGAACGACAGTAATCATTACGTCAATCGACGTTTACGTAAACGATTGTGTTATCATGATAACCGTTATGTGCGCCTTGTTTTTCGTCGAAATGTTTATAAAATTTTTTTATTGTACATGCACATAAAACTTAATTTATTTCGAAGTTTTCTACCCAGGATATTGGTGAATATTCTCCATTAAAAGTGCCATTCCTCATATAAATGCGTCATGCTTGTGTTGATCACTTCACAGATTTTTTTAAGTTACTGAGTGTTTATTATTTCGAAGATAGAAAAAAGTAGCCTAATAATAACTATAAAACAGTAACCAAAGAAAATTTTTTGGTCCACTTAAAAGACTCGTTAATCAAAACATTACAGAGTATTGCTTAATGGCCTATATTGAGTACGACCTGATGTTCAATATTGATTAGAAAATTAATAGAAACTAATCAACAATCACTTTTGAGCAAAATTACTTCTAAAACATCTCAGTATAGTGGAAAAATTCTTGTCAATATAATCTATAATCACTACTCACTGAAGTCGAGAATATATTTGAATCAGAACAGAGATAAGTTTGCAGAATCTAAAGACTCTGGAAGTATCAATCCAAAAAAAAGACATTTTGTCAATTGACGTTAAATACAGAGTTTACTCAGCAACTATATGTCAATGATTCAAAGAAACAGACCAATTTATAAGACATTAAAGTTATTGTTCATCCCCAACCTCCACACCCCCTTTTCCAAAATTTTGTGACCACTTTATTACATGTAATGACCATATACTTGATAAATCAAAATCATTACATATATTTGTATATACATATAGGTCATTTCCAACAACGTACGTTAATTTCCGACGGTTATTGACAGAACATGATTTGACACAAAATTCTTTTCACCACGGGGAAACAATTTCATTTTTTTTTTCAGATCTTGAGTTTGGTTGCATTTATGGTCATGGTCGACTAAATATACATTCCTTTAAAATAATATTTACTTTTCATACGAAGGTGTATTTAGAGCTATGTAATAGTTTGGTCCTTTCTTGCTTTCTTGTTTTCTGCATAGAACAGATACATAGATACATTGTAGAGAAAGTGATTTAGACTCCTGAAGTCGGATGGGGTTGGCATGAATAAATCCTTTTCCTTCACCTTTACAAAGAAAGCCGACGTAAAACAATTCAATTAATTTTTTTTGTATCTCGCGCATCGATCACACATCAGACGAATACATATATTCATAGAGTAAAACTTAATAGAATTCGGAGTCATTCGAGATTATTTATATTTTTAATATTTCTTGCATATGCTGTCGATTTTACAGAGAATAAATCAGGGTATGAACAAGATGTGACAAAGCACTGGAAAACCACTGGCGCCAAAAAAGTCTACAACCAATCAGAACTCCTGGGCAAACTAACCAATGAGAAAATAGCAGTAATGTTTGAATCGTCAACACGAAGTGGATTTTTGCCGGGAAAAGGTTCATTTTCGTTTCTTCATTTTAACTTCTACACAAACACTTCCAAGTTTTTGAGTTCATCTTACTCGGTTTTGACGTTTTTCAATCTACTTATTTTTACCCTCTTAAGCTACGAGAAAGTACACGAATATGTCATAATAGGTGGACTTCCGACCCCAGAATCATATTCTAAGCTTCGAAAACTGTTTTCTTTCATTCTTTCTAGAACAATGGACAAAACTCATGGACAAAATGTATGCGTTTGTTTTCGAAAAGCTTAATGAATATCAGGAATTTAGTGATTTGCCTTCCCCTTCTTAAAAAAAGAACAGCATATCCGTCCTACATGTACCAAAAACCCTTACACTAAAGTTATTGATGTTAAAATGTAATACTAGTATGAAAATCGATGCAATTTAATGACTTTGAACCTAAGAAGTATTTTGAAATGCTCTTTCAAGAAAGATGAAGTTTGACATCTATTGTTTTATAATTGATGTAATATAAGTTTTACAAAAGTTCAACATAACAATGTTATTAGCCTCAGCTTATAGCAAAATGTCTTTTTTTGAGTTGAATGAGTACATACACGACTTTAACAAGAAAGTATAACTAGGAAAATGCAAACTTGCATTTTTTTTTTTTGAAAACCGACTCATGAAAATGTTTTTTTCTGAAAATGTTGATGGAACTTCTTTGAATACCTAAATTAAAAAAGGAGAAGGTTAATTTGAACATTTGAATTTATAATTATCTATAAGTTTTCTAATCTAAATTCATTTTAAAGTGCCTTTTGCTGTAGCGACCAACATGTATAGCATCGTTTTTGAAAGGGGACGAGAAAAAATTCATCGTACCTGAAAAATCCCTGACAAATTTAAACTTGGAAGAAAGGGAGATTGTCCAAACTCAAAAATCTCTTTCTGGGGTTGGTGAGGGGTTCCAACTTCTTTCAGTATCATTCTTTATTCAAACACTACATTACCCTTATGATAACCTTATCCAGACTTTCGATGAACATCCTCTTTAATAGTAAAACTTATGTCTAGAAAAATTTGGGAAAATATGTGTCTGCTCATTATGTTCGATATTTAAAACTTTAATGATGCAATAAATACGAAAAAAAGAACTTAGTATCTGAATGATCCATGCAGGTAGGTCTCAAATGTTATAACTCTTGGCTTTAAGTGAGTCCATATAGGATCCTTCAACATCAAAGTAAATGGATCTGTTGCAAACTTGAAGTACAAAATTGAGAGGTAAACCTCAAAGTAAATTATTTGAAAGTGAAACACCTTCATGTATCTTTATATATCTATTGCTTGACTTTCGACGCCATATCGATATGACTTTGACACACTCTGGATTATATTCATTCAATTCAAACGCAGTTTTGGCTGATAATTTGTTACAGAATGTTCGAAAAAAAAAACTTCCTTAATATTGTCTTTTATTCAGTTTAAGACATGTGGTCATGTCAAATACTCAGAGAGATTCAGTATTAACTCAAGGATGTCACATTTCGGATAGTTTTGTGAAAGCTGTTGGACGTGTGGTGATCTACAAGAAAGAGAAAGAGAAACAACTTGCACAAGAGAACAGATGTCTAGGTTTTAAATTCGAGTTATCTTTCTATGCGAAATTAAACCATTTTCGTTTACAAGGAAGATGTTGATCGTTAACATTATATCATAGGAACAAACACGTTTTGTCTTTATAAATTACTTTATTTATAAAATTTTCTAACAAATCAGGATGTAATGCAGGACAAATCTGGTATTCAGGAAGTTTTCTTATCGCAAAGTTTTCGAATCAGTTGTGCCAGATGCGGCCCCTCCTGCACACTGACAGACAGTCATTGAGAGTGAATGATCCTTGTTACATCTTCTGAAAAAGTAAGTACATATCTAGATATATATTTCTGTGACCGTCCCTATATTTTTGCCTTTTTGTTTATATAAAGTCATTAACAAAAAAAAATATATATGTGTAATTTTAATATACATATAGTTAGAATTAAGCGCTCAGTAAATCCAAAATGTTCAACCCATTGTATCTATGTCCTCTTGGAAATACGACAGGGATTGGAAATGAATGACAATTTGCTCATCCGGTACGTTTAATACATTATGGCGTTATTAATGGTCCTCTGGGAGAGCTGTCGATTCATCATCATATTTTATTAATAAAAACAAATACAGAGCTCTTGTGTAATATTAAATAGAATACACTTAATTGTAATAATCATAGTATTTAAAAGTGACATATGAATACCGTGTTACAAGAGAGCCATAAGGGGGGTTTCCATTATTTGAACATCCCATAACAGTTGAAAACCGAGGCATTCACATGTTTACTAGAGGTGCACTGACAACAATCTGTACGATTGACTTTAGATTGATATAATTGCTTCATTATTGATCGCTATACCTTTACAAACGGGACATTTAAACTTAAAACAGTTTTTTTTCTCTTGATAATGGATTTTCAAATCTTTCATCATCATTAAATTATTCAGCTTTTGAGACAAAATCGATACTAGAAAGGTATAAAAAGGATGTAAGGTTTAATGTTATAATGATTACGTTATTCCTCGACACAAACTTTGCAAACTCCACTGGCGGATTTAGAGAGACCCCCCCCCCATGTTCAAAATATACATAAGATTTAATAAATCATTTTTTGGTGTGGCTTTGGGCCCCTACGACGACCCCCCCCCCTTTCAAGGTTGCTGGATCTGACTCGTGGGATGTAGTTTAGTCATCATACATGTATAATAAAGAGAATTCCTCCTCTTCTATCTCTGTAGATCTATAACATTTGTCTTCTTCTCCATTACATAAGCAGCATAATAAAAAGCTGTTTTACCCGACGTTACAACAGCTTAGGAATGCAAATGTCGTGTTGCGTTATTCTAATCGTGAACATCAGTGATATGTTTAACAGGAAAAGTCATTTCTTATACAGTTTATAACAGGCACATGTATCAAAACGTTTTACAGTTTTTCAAAGGACTGGTGAGATATAATCCTTAATGTGTTATAAGTAATATTTATGAGAAATTCTTGAATGAGTAGGTCTACATATATTGATATTATAGTCAGAAATTGACAAAAAGAGTAATATTTAATGTACGTACAGGGTGTTTCAGAAAACTTAATTGCAACCGTTGTATTGCAGTTAGTGTAGGCGGATCTTTTGTGCTTCGATCTATTTTGACGTTTTAGAATATATATTACAATTTTTCGTTACTAGTATATGCCGCATATGTTTGTATGAAAATTGTATATATTTTTATATTTGCAATCTTCATACAAACAATTATTCATTTTCTATTACTTTAATTGAAAAGAAAAATTTAGAAAGTCCGAAATGACGAAAAAGAAATCAAAATGTTATCATTTAAAGACACTTGTAGCAGGGAAGCATCGGAATATAAACAATTGTTAAAAAAAGAAAGATACGTTTGTGAAATACTGATGCCCCTGTATGACAGCTTATGGCGAGGGTTGAAGTTTCTCAAATGTAAGTCAACCTCCAAAGTCAAGGTCAAATGCTCAAAATTGTTGGTATCCAAAGAAAGGTCTTATCATCGGTAAATAAAGGCCTAGTGCTCATTGTTCAAAAGTTATGATTAAGGTTTAAGTTTTTAAAAAGTGTGTCAAACTCTAAGGTCAAGGTCAAAATGTCAAAAATTATTGATATACAAAGAGAAGTCGTGGCACAAGAAATGCATATCCGTATATGAAAACACTAGTGCTTACTGTTCAAAAGTTATGGTTAAGGTTTAAGTTTTTAAAATATGGGGCAAATTCTAATGTCATGGTCAAAATGTTAAAATTGTTGGTACCCAAAGGAAGGTCTTGTTACAAGGAATACATGTACATCTATAAGATATGAAAGTCCTAGTTCTTACTGTTCAAATGTTATGAACAAAGTTTAATTTTTTAAAGAGTGGGTCAATCTCTAAGGTCAAGGTTAAAAGGAGATAAACCCACTTTTTAAGTACACAACTGTGAGATTTGAAAGACATAGCCTCATTCACTCAAAAGTTATCTGCAAGGTTAAAGTTTTTGCGGACAAGCAAATAAACAGACGGACGGACAGGGAAAAACTACACAAATCTTTGATTATGGGGGCATAAACATATTTTATACAGTAAAACTTCTCTAAACCGGCCAGCTGCCGGACTGAATAAAATGGCCGGACTGGAGGGGTGGCCGGTTTCCCGAGAATCTAACATACTGAAGAAATGCAGAACTATGACAGATGCTAGGAAAAATGGTGTCTGTTATAATTATCTGTCAACATATTATTAATTATCGGCAGACACGTAATATATATTAAGGTCTAAAAAAAGGAAATTATTATTAGTGATGATAAATTCGACATACATGTTGATTTTCATGAAAAGAAATAAGAAAAAAAAAGAACAGAAAAAAACATGGAAAGTTACTTTATTAATCATATGCGAAGAAATAAACCAGACTCTTTACCTTAACTGAAGTCTATTCAGAATACTGCATGTGTATCTGTGTATCGCTTACGTCATTAAACAAATGTTTGTACTTCAGTTACAAGTAATAATTAAAGCCTTTCTGAGCAAAACTTCTCTTATTTTAATCATGAAATGTATATTTTGGTAAACATTTTAATTATTTTTTTTTTCTTAACATTATTTAACAGTACCCAATTTTAAGGCCGCTTATGTGTATTTAAAAGGATGATGCAATATGGCGTGCGATAATTTGTTGATTCTTTTTGTGATTTAATTTCATTAGTTGCTTGATATCTAATTAATTCAAGTTTAATTAATGTTAATCATATGTGCACAGCTTGGACTGGCCATTTACGTAGTCTGGCACGATGACTACCCCATCAAGACGGCTAAACAATAGAAAACCTTATGAGGCCATATTCAATTTTTCACACCTCTGACTTCTCGTGGGTAGGCTATTTTCACACCTCCGGTCGGTCATTATTACCCCTCTGGCCAATGACAATTAAATTTCTTGCAATAAAAAAGCGGCCGGTATGATGAGGGGAAATTTCCTATGTTTTTTAACTTTTGTTCTTGGAAAAGTGGCCGGTGTCCGGTTTTCAGGGGTGGCCGGTTTTATGAGAGTTTGTGTGTAAAGAAATGTTAAGAATTTTGCCGGGACTTATAAATTTGGCCGATGTTCAGGGAGAACCGGTTTCCAGGGGGGCCGGTTTGGAGAAGTTTCACTGTATTATATTCTAAAAGGTCAAAATAGTATATTTACTTGCATGTGATAATCAAAATAAAATCAGGCAATGTACAGACCACGTATGTTTAATATTCCAAATAAAATACATGTAATACAAAACAAGATGTGTTTGTGAAACACTGATGCCCTCGTATGGCAACATAGCGAAGGTTAAGCTGCTTTCTCAAATGCAGATCAAATATGTTAGTACCTAAAGTAAGGCCCTTTCCTAAGAAATACAAATGTGAAATATAAAACCCTAGCACCACCTTTCAAAGGCTATGACAAAGGTTAACGTTTTTAAAGGTAGGACAAACTCCGGGATCAAGGTCAAATGGTCAAGGTTGTTGGTTTCATAAGAAAGGCTTTGTCTTAAAGATTACATATGGTAAGTATGAAAGTGCTAGCCTTTATCGTTCAAAAGTTATGGTCAAGGTTAAAGTTTGTAAAAAGTAGGTCAAAATCCAAGGTCAAAGGGTAAAAGTTGTTGATACCCAATGAAAGGTCTCGTTACAAGAATTACATATATGAAGTATGAAAGTTCTAGCCCTTACTGTTCAAAAGTTATGACCAAGACTAAAGTTTGTAAAAAGTAGGTCAAAATCCAAGGTTAAGGTCAAAGGGTCAAAGTTGTTAATATCAAATGAAAGGTCTTTTCACAAGGATTAAATATGTAAAATATGAAAGCCCAAGCCCTTACCGTTCAAATGCCATGGCCAAAGTTAAAGTTTTTTCATAAGTACGGAAATATCCAAGGTCAAGGTCAAAATTGTTGGTTTCAAATGAAAGGTCTTGACACAAAGAAGTGATATCTAAAATATTAAACTCCTGGTATCTATCATTTAAAAATTAGGGTCGGGCCAAAGTAAAAGTTTGGATTTTTTGTGTAAAAATCTGTCAAACTCCAAGGTCAAGGTCAAAGAGTCAAGGTTCTTGATATCAAATGAAAGGTCTTGTCTCAAGAATTAAATATGTGAAGTATGAAAGCCATATTTCTAACCCTTATTAAAAAATTATTTTCAATGTTGTATTTGAAAAGTAGGTCAGACTCTAAGGTCAAGATCAAAGGGTCAAAGTTCTTGGTATCCAATGAAGCGACTTTTTACAAAGATTACATATGTGAAGAATGAAAGTCTTAGTATCTACCATTCAAAAGTTATGGCCAAAGTAAAAGTCTGAAATTTTTGTGTAAAAGTGGGTCAAACTCCAAGGTCAAGGTCAAAAGATCAAATTTGGTGGTACCCAAAGAAAGGTCTTGTCATAAGAAATACACAAGTGAAATATGAAAGTCATAGCTCCCCTAAATCAAAAGTTATGGACAAGGTTAATGTTTTTGCGGACAAACAGACAGACGGACGGACACGACAAAAACTATATACCCCCGGAACTTCATTTACGGGGGCATAACAATTCAAGTACAAAGTTTTATCATATAATTAAGAAGTATCATCTTTGGACGAAGAACTTACAAGTAATGTCAAAGGATCGTCATATGTAATGAAGTATACGCACGCAATGTCACACTATCAGTATATAACTATCAGGGTATAATCAAAGCATAGACACATATTGATAAGTTTTATCACAGTTATAATGTTTTCTGTATAAGACGGATAATGATTTCTTATGTGATACTTGCTTCTGAGTTTATGAATTTCAATTTTTCGATTTCGTAACAAAATTAAATCTTCGAAAGAGATGCTTCATTACTTTAACCCCCCCCCCCGCAATTTCCTCAGTGCAAACCTTTTCTTTTTCCAAAGATTTTAAAAATATATTGATCTACATTCTCGATAAAAACCTGGTCTGGCCCCCGCCATAGCTCTGTTGACAAGATTTAAACAAGCTTGACCTTTCTACTACAAGAAAATTATTCCATATTAGTTTGTATTAGTTGGCCTCATGAAGACGATTTTTAAAAAGTTTTTAATTTCTCTACTCGAGCATGTACCTCGAGATCTATTTCGAAGTTTGAAGAAACTACAAAATCATTAACTAGTATATCTTGTCTTGATCACCATTTGAGAGGAGGGATAAATTTATACATTTAATCTTTTCTCCCAAACTATGTTTTGTTCCAAGATGAACGATAAAATTAAATTGTAAACCGATTTAGCTGGTAAAATCGCGTAATCAACGGAACGGGGAAGCAAGTAGTTTGTAAATAAAGAGAGAAACTTGATTAACATCAGTTTATATCCGTGATTCAATCAAACATAGATTTAAAAAAAGTTAAGTGCATTTTGATTGGTAAAGTTATTTTTTTGGAATACGGAGAATATTTCTAGAATGATAGAATTGGTAAGGAGATCGATATTACGAGACTCACTAATCAAATTTAAAACCGTTTCAGCTTTCTTTCATTTTTTTTTTTTTTGCCATATTTAGATCAGCGATTAAAAAATGTATTGCAGTCCTTGGAATTAAAAAAAAATTCATACTGTCATATACTTGACACCATCTGCGTTTTCTTTTGTACTAAAATGTGCAAATGTATAAAGTATCATACTATATCTGAACGACAAAAAAATGTGATTTTTTCCTCACCCAAATGAATTTAAATGCTGCAGTTCTTGCCATACTAGGAAAAATATATAAATAATTCAAAACCTGTAAAAGTACAACCCATATACATGTGCCCTGTGGGGAATGAAATAAACAACTATAAAAATAATTCACATGCAGAACCAAGACAACACATGCATATTAGGCGCTAATTAAATTATTTAAATCTCGTTCTGGTTTATTTTATCAGACAAACAAGTTTATCCAGACCATACCCCTGCAGCAAAAACCGAAAAAAAGAGCCAGCATCACGCCTTTTAGTCATAAAACCGAATTATTTAATGCATCCCTAAGGCCTGGCGTATTGATCCGCTGATCAAACATTCTGTCACCGTTAGTAGACAGTCACACTCGCGGCCTGACGCCCTCGCCACTCACACACGGATATTTGAGATCCTCCGATGGTTTAACAGGTAAGCCCCTTACTCATCTTGGAGTTATGCGCTGATAAGTAAATTTTACTTATAGCTTCCCCCGCACGATAAGTGACTCGCGTCGACTGACCTGAAAATGCACACCACGCCCCTCAGTACTATAGGGAAGAATATTACCGTGTAAAACTGTGTTGCATCGTTGATTTCTCTTGAATGGATATTCATGTATTATCGTGATTTATTTGTACTTTATGTGGTTTTCAGTGTTTTTGATGGATTGAGAGGTTGTAGCAAATGAATTTAGTTTTATGACATTTAACTTGATAAAGGATCTTTAGGTGGCAGATTCAAGTAAGTTGAACATTCTGCATTTAAATTTTATTTTTATTTTTCGTGGAATGCATACAAGAATAAAACAGTTGCAAAGATCTTTAAATCTTTTTTAAAAATTCCTATTCGTCTAGCTTATTTATAACCGACCTAATTATCACTGTTAACTTCCTTCTGAAAATCGTGTTTAACAATATAATAATTTCCTACATCTGCTCTAGAGTACATGTATATGAGTGGACACTGCACTTGTAGTACATTCACACAATTATGCAATCAAAGTCCTCAAATGTGCATATATGTATTTACATCGCAATATGATAAACTAGCTAGACACGAAACAGGTTTGTCCTGAAATAACACGTTCGTTCAGTTCATCTTCATCTTAATGGACACGGAGCTCATAGGGGCCCGCCCTTCCACTAACTGTTAAAAGGGAAAATATGTTCGATATTGTGATGGTTTATTCATGTTCACTCAATTTTCCAGTTCCAGGAGTATGTGCCGTGAAATATTTCGATCAAAGGCATCCCTCCGTATTCAATATATATAATAATGTTTCCTGACCAGTCATTATATACAAATTCCATATACTCACTCGACCTCATCTGCAGCGAAACTAGTGTACAAACAAGACCTTGAACTACTTAATAAATTATGTCAGCTTTGACTATATATGTGTATCTAGAATCATTCATGATTTAAATTCTTGGCATTTAACCATAAAGTATTATGCAATTCCTAGACAAGTACCCGCTTTATCAGGAACCCTATGTGATGTTCAATTATAAAGCTTTGTTTACGTTGAGCTGATTCGTTAAAATCAAACTTTACGGTACAATGGATTATTCCGTTTCCTTATCACATACTTCGCTTCCCTGGGTAGAAATATAATACCCCCTTTGAAACTTTGTTTTAACGTAGAAGCGGGAGTTGCCAAGGGGATCAAACTTTTAGAAGGGCGTGGTCAATTTTATTTTATCCTCGCACACCTGTTGTTCACCTGCAAAAACAAACACAATTTCCCTCGTATAAACCCAGATTTGGGTCAAAGGCCTCTTAATTATGACGAGGGGTCCCCTCTGTGCCGCTACTGCCCCTGGCAAAACATGACAATTCTAGGTCTGTAATTGTCCTCTGATTGTTTCCTGATGTTCTACAGTGTATCATATTTTTGTCAAATGTACAGGATCAAAAATCACTTCAATGTATTTCATTTAGATTGATTTTTATACCACTTCTTAATTGCAAAGAGAATTAGACACCAGGGACAATAGGGGATTCTAATTAAGCGATCCATGATGCATTTACGTTATGGATTTTTTTTTTTGAAACACAAATTATCAAATGGCAGAGATTCGATCAACTACAGTAATGATTTTTTTTCTGAAATCATACATTTTGTTTGGATAGAGATGAGTTTACGTGTACTTAATTTCTTCACCATTATATTCTATGTTTGACCGGAAGGCTATTTGCTTACTAATTACACAAATATTTCCCGCCTCGGGACTTCGCTGACCAATCAATGAGCTCGTCACAGATACCGAGCATTACTTTTGATTGTAAATAAAATATGAACCTCCAGCTTCTGCAAGCAAGGTATATATTCAGCAAAGAACATATAATTGTTTAGCAGCCATAGGGGGTATGCGTTCAACAAGCAATTAAGCCTGCATAGTAAAAAAAAACTAAACCGGACGAAGATTCTGTTCCAATAAAATGTAGGGATGCTTCCTTAACAAAAACTTACAATATTGAATGAAAAAAGTATTATTAACACCGGTCCTTAACAATTTATAAAATCTTTTTGAACTAGTCTTTGCTTAATAGGCCTCTAAAATGCAGTTTTTATGCCAGATGCATACCCTTGGTACTTTTTAGGTTAATCAGATACAGAAATTACTCCCGGCAGGTAGATATACGAGATTTGATAATTATATACATTTATCATCGTTTTGAACAATTCGTCTAGCCCAGGTATGTGGGGAAAACAACAAACAAACCAGGTATACAGTTCGGTCCCATAAATAATCATATATTATTGATGTTCCCTACTCATTTCTGTGAAGATGTTTGTTAATAATTTTATATATCGTATATAATCCAATTAAAACTCCTCTCATCCATCATAGAAAGTGCTTCGCACCTTGCCGCTTCAATCACATCACAGCAAGGGTTAGGTGTTTTTGAGTCACAAGAAATATGACGATAGCAGGCACAGGTCTCTATGTTGACATAGGGTTCATAATGTAAAAGTTGTAGGCAGGGGCGTGGGCGGATTTTCAAACATATATTCATATCATTATTTGGGTGTTCTTGTGAACTGCAATCTTGAACAGGTAAAGGTGGTTTCTTTATTGTCGTTTGGTGCACTCATGCACATTTTAAAATTTGAATTTTTTAAATCAAATAAAGTTTTACCTGTACAGAATGTTAAACGGCTTCTTGTATAATATTTGAAATCTACTTTACGAAATTACCTATAGAATTTATAACAGGCAAAGCCCTTAAGACTTGTAAAAGAAAAAAAAACAGATGCCTCCTACACCTACTTCTTTTGCATACTATTATAAAGAACAGGTACGTTTTTATCAATGAAAGCAGAGGGAGGGTCACTTACGTTAATTCTAGTATGTGACCACATTCTTACACATATACTGTCAGATCAACATTCATTCATTCCTTCCAAATCGATCTCCAAACTTCCTGTATATGAATGACAGAAATAGACACGGAGTTGTGGATAGTTTGAGTCTGGTTGAGTCGGTGATGACATTAACGTGCCTCTTAAGAACAATGGTGTGGTATCGATTGTCTAGTACCTTGTATAAATCACATTGTACTATAAGCTGTTTCTGTTGATGTCCCACGACACTCTTAGAGGGAACTAAATTGCAGGATATCGGCGGTGCGTATTTCATTAGGGCTGCCACGGTTCAGACATTTTTCGGTTCGGTTCGGTTCAGAAAATAAATTCTCGGTTTTCGGTTTTTTCGGTTCGGTTTTCATTTTGAGAATTTAAATAAAACATCTTTATATATATCAAAGGATAATAAGGATTATGGACATTGTAGAAAGTACTATTTTGCTGACACAAATTTCTATCCATTTTATTCAACAGAACAAGTTGTTAAATGTAACATAACAAAGTAATAAACTTCTTGTTTAAAATAAAATAAAATATAGTTATTGACTAGAGTTATCACCAAATCACAGGTGTGGGAATACTTCACGTTTTTGAAAGTAGGGGACGTGGTTGACAAATTACTTGTGATTTGGATTTCCTTCCACATGTGTATGCCATGTTTAAATGTCTTCGATGTTACCTGTATTTTCATTGGTTAAAGAACCCTTCATTGAAATAAACAACCAATCACAACGTGTGTTGCAAGCAAATTAGTATTATAAAAAAACCGAACCGAATTCCGGAAAACCTGACTCGAACCGAACCGAATGCCATTTCGGAGCGGTTAACCGAGTTTTCGGTTAACCGTGACAGCCCTATATTTCATATCGAACACTATTTTCTGGAAGTTTTATTACTTTGAATCTCTTGAGAAATAAGACTGACCATACATCTGTATGCTGTATACCCAGCTTATGACATGAAATTAGTTTTGTGGGCGTTTTCTCTATTGGAGGACAGAACTGTGTTCAGCAATTTTGTTTCGAGCAAAAGGAAGGATCGGTGACCGTAGATAGGGTTATATACCGTTAAATCACTTGTTTTAATGGATTCAAATTTCGATGATTTGAGGAAAAAAATATATATCATTGGGTTCGTGGGGATTTACTTTCACGGATGAATACCTTTTAAATAGTAAAATTTGTTAAATTACATGAAATGGTGGGCATAAATTCGTGAGTCTCTTCAAGGTTATAGGGTTAACAACGAAAACATCGAAATGAAACCCTAACGAAAATTAATAGATTAATGACCTTACACAGTTAAAGCTTTAAAAATTGCGCGAAGCAAAAGCTTGCTCGCTGTATTCAAGTCTTTCCCAGCAAGAAAGATATTAAATTAATTAATTTGTATTAGGTACATTTCATTTTCAGAGGGTTCAGATTAATGGGTTTTTTACGCTGACTATTAGTTTGACTTATTTTGTTTTCACTGATTGTTTATTTGAAAAGAAAGTTATATTCAATCTGAAAACTTTGCTCTTCTTTTTATTACAGAAAATGTCTTTTACTTACGGTGACATGATTATTAGATATAGATTCACTGAAAATTGAAATTACTTATTTAGTAAAAACTAAAAATATTTTTTTAATAACGGCCTGCGTATTTTATCTTTTAGTTAGAAGAAACAACGGACTAGCAACATGGCTAATAATACAACAGCATCACCTCTAGGTGGATCAGGATGTATGACAATAGATGTTTATAACTACACCTGCTCAAATGCTATGATCTTACCCATAATCAACGAATACACATGGTCAGCAGGGACTAGAACTTTCTTGTACTTGATTGCTATGCTATGGTGCTTTCTCGGGGTGGCCTTGATTGCAGATGTCTTCATGTGTTCAATTGAGAAGATCACCTCAAAAACTGCCAAGGTCAGAATTCCAGACCAAAACGAACCGGACGGATTTAAAATGATTGAAGTGAAAGTCTGGAATGATACAGTTGCAAATCTTAGTCTGTTGGCGCTTGGAACCAGCGCTCCTGAAATATTACTGTCGGTCATAGAAATCGTCGGCAGGAAGTTTGAGGCCGGAGAACTGGGACCCGGCACCATTGTAGGGTCAGCGGCTTTTAACCTTTTGGTTATATCAGCGATATGCATCTTCTCTATCCCAGATGGGGAGACTCGCAGAATTGCCAATATGCGAGTTTTCGGATTAACAACTTTTAGTTGTATTTGGGCCTATGTCTGGCTATCACTCGTCATTCTAGTTATTTCTCCAGGGGTGGTGGATATTGTGGAAGCCGTCATCACTTTCTTAATGTTTCCTGCGCTTATTATTGGAGCATATCTTATTGACAAGAGACCTTGCATGAAGAAAGAAGAAGCTGTTGAAAATGGAATGGTCGGAATTTCTTTGGGTAAGTTTGGGTTATCTCCCTTTTTCAAATGCTAAAGCTCAACACACTCAAAGGCTAAATGCACAAGTTCTTAATCAGTCAATGTTAAGAAAAAAAACATGAAAGTTGCGTTTTGCAGGATCTGTAGTCTCTCACATTTATTATAATGGAGAGTACCTTGTATTGATATTGTTCCGTCATATCGTTTTTTTTCCCCAGGTCTTAAGTATTTTACAGAGAACAGATGGTTTCTCTTGAGATTATTTTTTCTTCAGTTATTGACGTTTTTTGCACAACAGCTGCAAGTTTGTGATTGTGCTTATAATACTCATTTCGAACATGATATACCGGTATACATGTATTTACTAGACACAATTTCAGATCTCTTTTGCGATGCATATACTAGGCTCCTAGTATCTTTCTGCTGTTTCGAAATATCTTTTATTATGTCCTAGCTTTGCAATATTTATAAGTCAAAGCAAAAGGTCAAGTCAATTTAAAAGTTTGATTTTGAATTTTAACAAAAAAAATATTAGTTATTACTGTTATAATAATTACATTTGTTGTTAATAACATACATTCTCTTGTCAAATTTTATTGTTCCCGACTACGGTGAGCTCGAAATTGTCCGTGAATAAAAAAAAGACACGTCGATTTTTTAATTATCTGTCGACCAAAACAAAACTGTTCGGCGATGGAGACAACAATATATTGTAGATCTATTTCCTAACGTAGATGCATCGATTTAAGGTCTGCAAGTCTGCAATTATCTGATGTTCATACTTCTTTTACTGCTCATTTCTTGTCAATTTTATTTTCCGTTGTCATGATAAATCATCGCGTCTTTTGTGGACATTCTCAAAATAGGATTATGACTTTTGTGAGTAACAACAAAGAATGAACCGAACAAAACATGTTTTTTATCATGTCGAGATACGAGAGCCCAGGTGTGTTGCACGTATACCTTTGTTATATTCTTTTATGATATGCATCATGCCATTACTAATTTCAAACACACACCATTTTGTCTACTTAGTAGACAAATATGCTTTATGGGTCATAAATTGCTTACTGAAAATTGCATTCCTTGCTAATAGCGACAGCAAACTAGTGTCAAACTACATTCATATGAATGTAGATCGGGTGCTGAATTAGTTGCAGCCAATGATGATGAAATTTAAGGTATCACTGCTACATATCAATGCTTACTTTGTCCTTTTTCTTTCTTTTAGAGGGTTATGCAAATGAACCATTGACAACAGGTAGCCAATCATATTTGTCCACGTGACTTGGTTGCTAAGTTGCATGGATAGAAGACTGTAACAGTCTTAACTACATTAAAAATTTCATAATTTATTCTTTTAAAAAAAGATCTCTACTTTGAATATTGAAAACATTTTAAAAATATCAAGTGAACCATGTGTTTTAAGTACATATAAATCATTCATTCAATAAAGTAGAGATCTTTTGTAGAGGAAGTTTTTTAACTCGTATTTTCTAAGTACTCACTTCTTTTTCACGTGTTCATTCTATTTTTAATATTCTTTTTTCTTCAAAGTATCTGATTTAGTCACCTTCTATATAGCTAGATTAACTTCATGTGTATTATGGTATTCCACATCTTTACTTTCATATTTATACGTATAAACATATTTAAAACATCCTCAATTCTGGTTGAGTACTTCCAGCATTTGGGATGCAACATCTGTATCTAATATTCACTGCTTTTCAACTAACACACAGGCTCAGATTTTTAACAAGAGGTTTTCTCAATAAAAAAAGAAAAGAAAACGCTTTAGATTATTTTGGCAAAGTAAGCTTTACATTAAATGAATTATCTAGGAGGCTTCTTTCAAATGTAGAAAAGCATCACTTTAGTTAGCTCTTCATTTCTTATCTTTGTTTTGATGTTGCACGTAATTTGAATGAGAAATAGGGTTTGCTATATTCCATACAAAATCACACCTTAGATTTCTTTATGGTAAAATGCATGTATCTACTTTTCCCAAATATTATTAACTAACATGATTGTAAAACAATTAACATTAAATTGTATAAAGGTATGCAATATAGAAGTGAATATAATTTCATAAAGCATGTAAAATTCTGAAAATTTAAAGAACCCCACTTTTCAAATTATATCTTTACATCTATATACATATATATCAGTTTAACATTAATATTGATCAAAGAATCTGATATACGTAACATTATAAAGCAAAAAAATTGCGTTAAAAAAAAACTTTTTAACTTGAATTTTAAAAAGTCAATATTGAAAAATTCAATTTAATTGAGAAATTGGTAGTCTTACAACAGTAGATACATGATAATTTTGCCTGTCATGTTCTTGCTCTCACAAAAATGCTCATCTTTTCATGTTGCTTCAGCCCAAACCACAGACATTGCCATAATACCTAAAGGTAATGTATGAATTCATATCCAGACCCTATTTCTCATGTCATCAAGGATGCTTCTGTTTGCTATATATCATGGTAATTTGGTTTAATTCAAAATACATGTATCATTTTTGCTTCTGAACATTTATGGGTTATTGTATGATAGACTTAAGGTCATATAATATATTTATGATAATGGGGAAAAACAACGTAAGAAAAGAAAAAAAAATAGTCATATGATATCACTTGGGATATTTATTTTCTTTGAAATTAATCCACTCGTTTAATCCGTATTATTGTTTTGAAAAGTAATTGATTTAAGATCTCATATTTTCTTCAGAAGAGAAAAAGCCCGAAGTCACCGAAGAGGAGAACCGTGAATCGAATAAAAAACTTCTCAAACTAGCGAAGGTAATAACAGATTATTAATTATAGCTTTTTAATTTTCAAATCATAGATGTGATCTAAAAATACTTTTTTACCTAATTAAACATAATTAGTAATACACATGCCATCCGAAAGTACTTTTTCGTTGCTCATACCAAACACATTCATTCAAAGTTATTCAAGGAAATCGTGTTTTTCGCTGGGTGACCTAAATCTCTCCTCACGGACAGAGAGACAGACAGACAGACCTTACACAAAAACTTATCTCTAAAACCTTTGTTCTGAGGTGAACAATCATAAAGCTTGTTGTATTCGTCGGAAGGATTGTGAGTTTTAATCTTTGGACACAGAAGAGGATGTTTTTGTCTTACGGTCACTGATCTCAAAACTCGGCAGTAAATATAATGTCATTGTCAGGAACATAGGCGCTCCCCATGTAATTCTGTAAATGACGTATGATAAGTATAATATATAGGTCTACCCCTCTATACTATAAAATAACAGTATAGAGGGGTAGACCTATATATTATACTTATCATATGTCATTTACAGAATTACATAGGGAGCGCCTATGGTCAGGAACTCTATTATGTTTGCTAGGGTGCCATTATGAAGAAATGGGATTTTATCCCATTATGTTTCTGATTTTCTAGTTGACAAATTGCATTCATTAAGATATCAATTTAGAAGCAACGGATTGTAGACACGTTTTCAAATATAGAATATACTCCTGTGTATTGGAAAGCTATCACTTGCTATTATATTCAAGGTTGGAAAGTTATTACTCACGAAATGAATAGTTGAAGTACATGCTCACAAAATGTCAACTATTTAGAGAAGGAAAATATTGCTGATACGAAATGTCAAACAAAATGCAATGTTACTTGTTTTTTGCTTATTTCATATTATACATGTATATATTCAAGTGATTTGGCGTCAACGGTTTGGAAAAACTCAAGTATCATGGTATACGATACTGGCCGACGTCCAATTAAAGATCGCGTATCTTTGAATTTTCTAAGAAACTGTCTTCAATTGTTATCGTCAGCAACTTTTTGGGTAGACAAGTGTTTAGACTGATGGATTCGCTGTTACGTGTAGGAGTTGATGTAATACAGTCATAGAAGTCAGGAATTCCCCTGAAGAGCTCACATTTCTAACGGTGTTAAGTCACTAGGACGTCATTCCTCATTCTTTTTTATGTTTTAGTTAAGAATGTTGTATAAGATCACAAAGTACGCTTTCAGGGAAACAAAGTTAAGTCGATGACATTTCCAACCATAGATCTCTTTAAACCATACACAGAAGTAGTGGCTTAGGGCTTTGGTTGTTTTTTTTTTTTATTCTTTACAAAAATTAATATTATTGACATTTATATTGACCAAAATGTCGCATTTTATTCAAATTGTCGATATTTTGAAAATAACTACATTTGTACATAGTCTGTGCATTAATATCCTATCAAGTTGATCAAAGTTTGTGGATGTTTTTATTGATATACTGAGTATGCGATTATTGATGATATACGGCAATGTAATTGTACAGAATGTTACAAGACACCCTTTGTCATTAGATTGTTTATTCGATAGTTATTATACTCAAAGCTATAAGTTATGCCGAATGTGTTTGTCGGTCAATAACAGATGTTAGCTTAGCAAGAGGAATTTTGACAAAAACATGGTGTATTTAAAATATCTCGAAATATAATCATTGCCTCCTTGAAGGAAGCGCTTGATTGTCGGCGGAGCAATTTTTCAAGAGGAAAAAGTTTTCCTACAAGACATATTGGAACTAACTTGTATGTATGTAAAGAGATGGAAAAATGAAAATAAATATGCTCACATGGTATTGTTTTGCTTTATGAAGAGTCGAAACTATTCTAATGAGAATTCTGTATGATATATAATGTTTCCTTATCGTCAGAATCAGCGGAAGGAAAGATATCAATATTTCATAGGGATGTACAAAGAGAATATGGTTTTGGATTTTAGATTAATTGTTTTTAGCATGAACTTAATAAAATGGAATGGAAAGGTTTCTTTTTAAATCTACAATCATAGAGGAGATCAGTTTTATATTTCAAAAGCGTCGATTCGATAAAAAATTTGCAGTCATCGTTTTTTCTGAATCGCACACGTTTTTCTGTGGAGGAAAAAAGTTTCACGGAAAAGAGAGATCCATGTTGATATCTCAACTGTTATAGCACGCAAGGGGAAAGTCATGACCGTTTTTATATATTTTATAGGTGGACATGGTAATCTATAGACTATGGTATTTAAATCTCCTGGAAATGTAGAGATCTTATTTTTTTCTTCTCGACTTACCGCAATTCATTTTCTACTCACACATTTCCAAAGATTAAATTTCGCTTTAAAATTTCTCTACATTTTGTCTTTATTAGGCCTAGAAAAGTATTTACAATGAAGTCATGTTTTGCAGGAACTCGGCCATGAGTCTTTGGACCAGGGCATACCACCAGAGGAGGCCGCCAAAATTGTGGCAGCCAAGCTGACTGAGAAAGAGCACCACAGCCGGATGTGGTACCGCATTAACGCCACAAGAAACATGTCAGGTGGCAAGAAGCTGGTTCCTCAGGTCTACTCGGCCTTCAAAGATGTAAGACGGCGATTTGGTTTCAAACTTTTATCATTTTTTACTCAAGTTTCTTATATTGTAAGATGGAAGTATTTTTATCATAATTTAATGTCATAATTCTTTGTAGCTTTCATATAAGGCAGGTTCAATGCAAGAAAAAAATATCTATATTTTTCACTCGCTAAAACATAGTCGAATATAACTGAAACTCATATATTTATAACGTTTCAAAGGCATGCATGGATTTGTTTGATGTTCCAATTAATTGAAATGACATACAACTAAATGAATTTAATATACATACCACGATTTTTCATTCATTTTCCTTCATTCCACGAGTAGAAGGTACGAGAAATGCATTTTTACTACTTTTCTAAAGTCTCTTTCCTCCGATTGGCACCATTTTTTTTAAGTTCCAGAAGAAAAAGTTTTGTTTTTCCGTGAAACCTATTATTCCTTCAATTAGTAAAGCATTTTCTATGGACTTTTGAATATAGCGACTTCTAGTTAATCCTAATCCTTAATTTTTCAGAGTCATGTATATGTCATAGATAATTTCCCACTTTTAAAAATGTATACCTTGGATGCCGGTACACGAGCGTTTGGATTGCATGAAATATAATGTACTTTTTTCATAGACATAGAATGATTTTCAATTTTAATTTTTTTAAAATACATGTACAATATATCCTCTGATTTGTTTTATTTTTAGTAAATGATTACACTTTTTATTTAATTTCTGCACCATCCTAAATGCACATAATTCATTTCAAATGTTTGTAAAAAAAAAAAAAAAAAAAAAAGAAAGGATTAGAAATGAGGTTTTAGTATAAAAAAAAAACTTACCTCCGTTTTTAAAATTTATTTTTTTTTAAAATTATTGATGCAACAGCCACTATATTGGACACTATTTTGTTGTTTCGTTCTACAATGCAAAAGAGAGGAGAGTGTGTTGCACTTGTTTACCATGCTCCTTTGTTAATCATAATTTGGTAAATCTTTTTTTTTTCTTCAGTTGTATGATCAAACTCAGTTACCCGAGGAAGAAAAAGCAGAGGGTAAAATGGCAGTGATGACTAAAGATCACACCGCGGGAGGAACGAAGGCCGTGGTGGAATTCACTGCGGCCACCGTTTCAGTTCTGGAAAGCGAAAAGAAAGTTCGTATTGGCATAAGAAGATACGGCAAAATGGACACCCCTCTCACAGTCCGGTAAGCCATGCCACCAAAATTGAATAACTCTAAAATCTTAGTTGCGACCAAAGGAGACTTTTTGAATGGTTATTACCATAATACACATTCAATAGGTTCTGAACCAGAATCTAAAGCTCAAAAGTCATGTTTAGTTTCAATTAGATCTATTGAGTAAAGTAAAACACGCGTATATTAACACAGAGACAGACAATAAGTGTAATTCGTTACATCCACTAAAGAATCTTTACAATATGGTTTTAATCAATATTAGAATATTATTTCGTGGTGAACGAAAACACTTTGCGGAAAGCATCATTTCATGATAAGCGTGTTTAACTGTATTGACATTCTGAAAAGAAATATGTTTGTCTTAAAAATTGTCAGCTCACGTTTATGTTCATGTAATTTTTCTTCTGTTTTCTTTACAGTGTGGAGACTATAAACGGTACGGCCACAGCACCAGAGGATTACATTCACCTAGAGGAGAACGTACATTTTGCCAACAATGAGGCTCTTCGTCAGCTGTATGTCGAAATTATAGACGATAATGAGTGGGAACCTGACGAGTTTTTCTTTGTTAAACTGTCCCTTCCTGAGGCCGAGGAGAACGAAGACATTGTCCTCGGCAATATCTCCATCACACAAGTCACTATCATCAATGATGATGGTAAGTTAAAGGTCCAAGATGCAACAAAGATCATCAATCAATTTTTGAAATATCAGTCGATTCTCCATTAACCTTTTTAGTTGAACTGAATTGTCATTATTTTTTATGAAAATAAGACAATTCCAAAATAAAAGTAAAATATATACATGTATCTGCTTTTGCTTTCAGAACCCGGAAAATTGGAATTTGCCAAACCCAGCATCATCGCAAAGGAGAGTAGCAGACGTGTTCGAATTCCAGTCAACCGTATCAATGGCGCTGATGGTCACGTGTCTGTTGCCTGGAAAACACGTGACATCACCGCTATCAGTGGAAAAGACTATGCAGGTGGAGAAGGGGTGCTGAAGTTTGATCACGGAGAGACTTGTCGTACAATCGATATCGAGATATTTGACAGCATGGTAATTAAAACAATGATGAAGCTAGCTTATTAGTCTGTCCGTCTTCTTCTGTTGCATGTCTGAAAATATTAATCTTGCCCTTACAGAAACCAGAAAGAGACGAAAGTTTCCAAGTGGAACTTGGAGAATGCGATGGAGGAGCAGAGCTTGCTAAAATCAGGAAAACAATTATTACTATCGTCAATGATGAAGGTTTGTCAGTACCTATAAATAATTTTTTTAACTACAGTACATGAATTTCAACGTGACCTTAATTAACAAGTTTACATTATCCTCATGAGTTATCATTGTTATTTGCAGAATTTAACGGTTTGGTGAGTAGGATAGTCAACTTGACAAAAGCTAACATGGATGCTCTTCAGCTGGAGGATTCTACTTGGGTCACTCAAATGAAAAACGCCATGAACGTCAACGGCGGAGACATAGAGAACGCTACTTTCATCGACTATTTACTGCATTTCCTCACTTTCTTTTGGAAAGTAGGTTCATTGACAAAATATCGTAATTTCTTGAATTTTTTACGAGCAAATTGTCATATATGATATAATCCAAAGAAAATCATAAAAATGCGTTGCAGAAAGAGAGAAGATGACATTACTAGTATTAGTATTTGCAAATGAAAAAGTAGTTCAACTTAACTGTTTCCCATTTCAGATTCTTTTTGCGCTGGTGCCACCCCCAAAGTACCTCGGCGGATGGCCTGCATTTATCTGTTCTCTATCCGTTATTGGTATAATGACCGCTATTATTGGAGATCTTGCCAGTTTGTTTGGATGTCTCGTAAACTTAAAGGACAGTATCACTGCCATTACGTTCGTTGCTTTGGGAACCAGTATGCCGGATACGTTTGCCAGTAAACAAGCTGCCGTTGGAGAGAAGACAGCCGACAGCTCAGTTGGAAATATCAACGGAAGTAATTCTGTTAACGTGTTCCTGGGTCTGGGTTTACCCTGGCTCATGGCCACAATTTACCACATGTCACAAGTAAGTTTGTCAGTTAAGGTTTGTTGACACTCTGATAAGAAAGATAACTCTTACTGGGAAAATTGTGTATTATTCCTTCAGTAAAACAAGATTTGTTTGTGAAACACCATGCGCGCGGCGGTAACAAAGTTTTTTACATACTGTAGTATACATGTAGGTCATGTCATTGACCTTCATGTCATTTGAAAAACTTAATTAGTGGAGTGTGCATACCAAGTATGAAGTCTATATCATCTATGGTTCAAAGGTTATGACGAATGTTCGAAAAAGTTATTTTTTTAGTGTATAGGTCACAGTCAAGGTTACAAGGTCATTGACCTTGGTATCATTTGAAAGAGCTTAATTAGAGTAATATGCATACCAAATGAGGCTTTAATTGTAGGGGATTCTAATATTGAAGAATAAGCAAATTGCAAATTTCTTTTTTCACGCGGAAATGGAATCAATTTTTTTTTATTCTGTCTGACACAGTCCTTTGATTTTTTTTTTCAGGGGACAGTATTCAAAGTTCCACCAGGATCTCTCGGATTTTCCGTTATTCTCTACACAGCGTGTGCTATAGTCGCCGTTCTCTTGCTGATAGCGCGGAGATTCCTTAAGCCTTTCGGACAAGCAGAGCTAGGAGGGCCGAAGGGGATGAAAATCTTGAGTGCGCTGATCATGGTGTCGTTATGGGTTTTCTACATTTTATTTTCGGCTTTAAATGCAATGGGAGTTATTAACGTTCAAATTGGTTAATTATTTTATTAAAGAATTTTTATTTAAAACTTGGAAATATTTTTCATTATGTACTTAATTTAAATCAGAGTGGCATTAGATTTACTCTAGTTTAATAACTAGCAACTAAAACAATTTCATCAGATTTCCAGTGTAATTATTTTCCTCTTCAACTTTTGCAAAGAAGTTCTCGTATTTTCCTTATAATACATCTGAGTATATTTAATCTCAATATTATTTTTTATTTTAAAAAGAATATTACTGGCGTACTTTTCATACCGTTCATTAATGTGATATTATTTTTAATTCTACTTGTATCTCTTGGTGGGGATATTTTCAAATCAATTATTGTTCAAGTTAAATAATCTTAAAAGCTTATTCATGACCTGACCTGATACTAAAAACATGTAATGTTTACATGTTATTTTTTGCTATTTTTTTTTTCTAAAGCAACTTTTTTTGCTTTTATACAGATATACTTTGTTTATATTTTTATAACTCTTTTTTTTTATTTTGCTTGCTTGTTTTGATGTCTACATGTATGTCTTCAGTATTTTATTGAAATTTCAAAGAGTATGAAAAAAATTCCTATTTTGAAAATTGGCTGTGATTTGACGTATGATTATTTTGTGATTTTTTTTCTCATTGTTTTAAACCTTTGACATGAAAACAGAAATTTATACTGTGACATTGTACATCTAAATGTGCTGGTTTTGCAGCTAAGCAGATCTGCATCGACGTGTAAATACGAGTTTATTGTTTATGAACAAATTAAATGTATGTAAAGCTATCGCTGAATAAATCTTTTGTACTGTGTATTTTTATAAGTAATATTAAGTGATAATACTTGTAGATTAAGATAATGTTAACACGTATATATAATTGTAAAATAAATTATTCTAATAAAGTCTTGACTTTTACATGAATATAAGCAACCATTTTGCTGCTTGTTAGTTAAATAGAATTTTGTATCATGCATTGATTTTTGCTTGATCCTAGCCACAGTGCCCAGGTGAGCGATGAGACCCATGGGCCTCTTGTCTTAATTAAATATTTTCGTGTCGGTTAAATCGGTTCAGTTAAAAATACTGTTGGCAGAAGCAGTGAGGGACTTAATGACTATATGATACCAAAACGCCATGAGGTTACTGTGTCTCGTGCTCTAAGCGAAAAAAAAATGCAGATTCATCTTAAAATTTTAAAAAATATTGCTTTTTTTTTCAGAGGAATATTCAAGTGACGTTCATCGAACAATTTTTTGTATAAAGAAAGCTTCATTTGCTTTTATTTCCATTTAATAATGTTATTCAATTTATGTTGTTGTGTTTGTTGGTAAAGTGTGAAGAACAGTTGATAACTTCTCAAATAAGAGTGGAACATAACACAACATTCCACAAAATGTCTGCTCATATGTACTTAACTTCCGGTCTAACACACTAGTGTCTTCCACAAATAAATACTCAATCTGCAACATGTCTTCTACACTGTCTAGCAAACATTTCACAATTTTACCACTGTAATCAGAATCCACGTCTTCTGTTTCACTGTCGCTTAGCAACTCGTCACATTCCTCCCGGAAGTTCTCCACAAATAACCGGATGTTGTTCACAATGGCAAGATATTCTCGAAGGAGATCCGTTCGGACCCCAGATCCCACACCTTCAGTCGAGATCAAGTAAGAATGAAGACGAATAACACCTGCAAGATCCGAAATACTTTCCTCGCCTTTTGGAAGCACAATTTGTAGTGTTCTCAGGAACTCATTTATATGTTCATCAAACACAGCGTATCGATGCTTTAATTTTTCGAGTTTGGTTGTGAAGCGGTTTTTGCATTCTGGCCAATCAATATTGCTCCTCGTTTTCTTCCCTACAGAATGAAGTCAAATATATGCATTTTTAAGTTTAATCCTTTTAAAACTAAGAGATTTACTGCAATTTTAATAAACCTTAATGGAAAAGTTGCGTCAGAAGATACATACCTTTGAGTTCTGGTATTCTGTCTACATTCGGTTCCTCAGTATTTGGATCAGTCAGTGTGTCTGTAGGGTGAAACACGGTGCTTTCTTTAAACTTCCTGGATAAAAGACAGTCCCTACATTCCTCATATTCATCAGGATCAATGCTAACATCTAACGTTAAACTTTTTACCCCCAGATTCTTTAAAGTTTGTTCATTTACAAACACTGCCTGGCAGATTGAATTCAGTCTCTTCGATTTGTACATTTGGTTGATTGACTCGAGAGCTCCGAGAGTTCCACACTGAACACTTGCTAAAATGACACTGTCTCTTCTGACGTCATTGACAACGACCTCGGTCATATCAATTGTTTTCTCCAGGCTAAGAATATAATCCTCACAATTATTCACAACCACTGAGTAATACGATTCGCACAATTCTCGACATTTTTCCCGCCAATACCCATTTATTTCTTCCAGAGCGGCAATTTGGGCTACTCTTATTCGCAGTGAAAGATTACCTATGTAAAAAGGCGAGCTGTATGAAATATATTTTGCTTCATGTTAATTGACAAATTGTGTACAAGATTATTTTTTTGAAAATGCTTCAATAAAATGGAACAATTAAAGAAAGACTACTAGTATTATTGGAAAATATATAAAATTGTAGCATATAAAAATGGTCAATTCTGCCTTCAACAACGTTAATTGAAATGTCAAAAGAAAATCCGTTCACGTCCTTTATTTCTAAGACATTTTTATATGTACATAGGTCTAATAATGACTTTTTTAAAATAAAAAAAAAATTCCTACATGATTTATCTTCCTTCCTGTACTTCTGTTTTGCCGCTCGTATCCTGGCAGATTTGGCACTTCCGCTTCTTAGTCTTTGCAAAGAGGGCGGTGCACCTTAAATTTTAAAGTGTGCACCTTAAAATAAAGACTTTAAGTATATGCTGCACTTTCAATTTGATTTATGAACAAAAATTCAATGTTAATCATCCACAGAGAACATTTCAAGAAGAGTAGAACCTATGTTAAACATTTTAGGGACTTTTTTTTATTGCGTTTTAAGAGTACATTACATGCTAGGTTGAAGATATATAACTCAAACACCTAAGTCAGACATTATTAATAAGATAAAGGGATTACCAAACAGTAATATACTTCTGGATTTGATTGATTTTCTCTTCTCAATATGGTTGTATATTGCAAAGAAAATCCACGTATCATGGCAACGTCGTTTGTAACTGTATACAATAGTACGTGACCATTGCAGAATTTTTAAACTTCTTTATCCTGTTTACTGGATTTGGATGGAAAAAATCTGTGATATATGTTCAGAAAAAAAACAATAAATTACTTACCTTGTTCTTGTATGGGCGGTAATTTTACATTCGACATATCGCACTTTTTGCAGTGAGAAGATACAATTAATAATGAAATGTTTGGTTAGCCGCAAATGCATTTAGGTCTTTTATGGTCGGGGTCATTCAAATATGCTTTATTAAATCACTCTTCAAAAGTAGACTAATGTTTGTCAATTTTAACGTAAGTCTCAACAAAGTTTGTTTAAAACCTCAATTGAAAAGACTGCTAATATAAAATGTATCGATTTTAGATCATTTCTTCTCACACAGTAACGTTTGACAGAAAGAATTGTTATGTATTGGACACGGCGGACACGGCGTGAAAGTAATGCCAAATTTTTTCATATATGGAAATCGCAATGCAATCATAGTTTATCTTCTGATTTGAGGATAGCAGTAATTTTCAAACGCCGCATGCCTACCTTTTTCAAAAACTACAATTAAGTAAAAGATCAGACATTCTATCAATTGTACATTTTGTAGAAGTACGCTTTCAAAGTTATCGCTTCATTTCCTTAATATTTCTTGTTATTTTGTTTAATTTTTATGTTTTTTCCCTATCAGGACAAATAAAAAGGCACTTAAATGCTCAAACAATACATAAATAACATTACTTTCATATTTCTTTTAATTAAAGATTAGAGGAAAAGGAAACACAAAAGAAAACGTACTGTAAAGACAAAATACACTCTGCCTGATAATTTAAGCAAAGATAAAATAAATATTATTTAGAGAAAATAAGAAAAAAAATCCCACTTTTTAGCTGTGCAGCATCTAAACTTATTTGTGGTAAGTATATATATTTCCACGGACAACGTAAGTTTCAGTCAGATTAGTTTTGACAACGGGTAGACGCAATTGAATTTAAGTCAGTCTTAACTGATAAGGGGGACGGTCTAACCTTGCTGTAGAACAATTTATTTCAGGGGTCTTAATATTTCAGTTTTATTAGATGTATACACATACAACAGTATAGAAGACTAATACAGAACAGCTCCGCCCAATAGTCCCGTGCAGAAGAGCAAAATAATTTTGAAACTGAATTTTTCAAAAATATGTTTTTTAAAACTTTTAGTTAACACATAATTATGGTACGGAAAATGAGGTTGGCTATAATTAATTTTCAGACAGGAAAGGGTCTTTAACAAAGCTTTCAAATGAATAATTTATTGACAGCAAATTACCAAAATTTGTTAAAATGCTATATTTAACTAGTTTTGAAATTTAACCTTTTATTTGTTTTGGTTGAAAAATCAGAGTACTGTCAAGAGATTTCTGTTATTTGTTTGGTTTAGATTTTTTTTTCCGGTAGGTGGCGATACTGGGATGGACCCCCCCCCCCCCCTGTTTCAATTGGAAAAATTCCTATCCTCCAAAAACAGAGGCCGCCTAGACCTGGTGAAAGTAATGTCTTATCATGCTGGGAAAGAAAGTTTTTAAAACTATTTTAATCTTCTACATTTTGTATTAGTCTCGCATCCCTACGTGACAAATAAATAACTTTTCCGAAAGCAAAATTTACTAGCTGCAAAATCTGTCAAGAGATTTCTGGTTGGATTTTTTATTTTGACTGGGATGGAAACCCCCCCCCCCCATAGGAAAAAATCCTGGATCCGCGCCTTACCAATTGCACTCAGTTATTTGCAAAATTTATTCAAAAATATATTCGTGAGAAGGAGTCTGTTAGATTCATGTACATCGACGACGTTTTATCAATTTACAATATAATTTGCAAGCTATATTATCATTACAATGATCTTATCAGCAAATATAATCTATCATTAAGACTATAAATGCTTAATGACTTTTTCATACAAGTTGTTAAGCCATTACTTCTTACATAACAGACTGCGAATTTTTCCGTTTCCCTGATTTCCCTTATTTATGTAGCAATATACCATCATCAACTGCATATGGCGTTTTCATCTCCAAAATGATTTGATACGTATGAGCATACTCTACGTACGAACAATTTCTTAAACAGGGCAAGGAATCGACAAACAAGTTGATAAAACAAGGATATCGAAATTTTCGACTCAGATCAACTTTTCGCAAGTCATATTGTCAATCTAATGATCTTATCAGCAAATACAATCTATCATTAAGACTAAAATGCTGACTAACTTTTTCATACAAATTGTTAGGGCATTACTAACACACATTTTCCCGTTTCCCCGATCATGACAAGGAGCACATTGCAGGTGTGACCGGTCGACAGGAGTGCATACTTACTTTTCCATGGCACCTGATCCCAACTCGGATGTTTTTGAGATCTATTTTTGCTTTTCTTCCAATTTGCATTGTTTCAAAAGACTTTTAATCTTTATTTCTGATCATTATCTCCATATTTCATGTTAACATATATTTCTATAAACATGTACCTGTTGATTTCTTCCTTTTGGCAGAGCGGACTCTGGTTGATACAGGCAGTGATGAGGACGGTCGTACAATCAGCTGTTTGAGGTTTAAACTCTCTACCTCCTCTGAAATTGATTGTTTGAAGAATCACAAATCACAAATTATTAAAAGCGTTAATTTAGAAAAAAATACAGTGATGGAATTTATTTCAGAAATTAATGAATTATTTTAGATTAAATACTCCTCCCCCCATTTTAAAACCACCCCTCCCTTAAGTTCAAGAACCCGTGATTTTTCCTTAGGGCCTACACACCACGAATCGCTATACCTTCAGCTCTGCGAAGTCCATTTCTTTTCAGGGCAGAAATGAGTTTGTCTTTTGTTGCAACCTTGCCCATCTGTTCATACCAGAGACATAGTCCGCGGTACGCTAGATTGGACAGTTTCGTACTGTAACTAGCTTTTTCCAGGTGAAGTAGATCCATTTCCGGTACACCTAGGTCACGACAAACTTCCTTCCACTGGCGGACAATGTAAGGAGAAACTCGGAGCAAAATGTCACGGAAGTCTGGAATACATGAAATTACTTTAAACAGCACCAATAGTACTTATTTTTGAGGAATGAAAATTTTTTGTATTTTTTTTTCTTGTTATATAAATCAAATTAGAATATTAGCTAACTTATTAATAATGACCTACTAGTATTGAAAATTCCGTGAATTAACAATTATCTAAAGAAAAAAAGTTCTATTCGAATGACTAAAGAATGTTTGAGTAATATTTTTTTGACAAAAATGCACTAGTATTCATATAAAATCGTTTAATTAAAAACAAAAACTTCATATAGCATTCAATAGCTCATTGACAGTTTCGATGGATTAACTATCAGAATATCATATATAATTGATTCATATTCTGGCTATAGAATGAATTTGTCATATAGGTCTGTTATTACCATGTCGAATGTGGCGTAAAAATAAGCGTTATTGAAATGAAGATTTTCCTCTGGATTTAGAAAAATGATATCCGCTCGTTTTTATTCCCATGATGAAAATTTCTCGGTTTTTGTTACTAAGTCTTTCAACAAAATGCAAATTTTTCCTCATTAAATCGATAGAAAGGACAGATATATCTCTCTCCTAAGAATTCATTTCAACCCACACGAATAATATCTATATTTCTAATGACAGAGCTTCGCACAAAAAGGGCTTAGAATTTAAATATCTCTCCGAACATCAAATTATTAATGAATTCGAAATTCACAATAACCTAGTAGTAAAAATATTATTGGATTTTAGGTATCATTCCGGCATAATCATTGAATCTATTATTGGAGCTTATATTTCGAGACAGGGGCTTAATATATGCATAATAGTGCATTAAATGAAAGGTATGGAGAAAAGCTAAAAATATCGAAGGTTTGGTGTTAATCCCGGCTTAATGCATATAAATCCAGATAAGTATGTGTAGTTCTAACTTTTATTTCAGTCAAGAAGTTACTTTTTGGAAAATGTGGGCTTTTGGTAGAGAGGAAAAATCACGGAGAATATATAATTACAAGTTGCATTTTAACATTTAAATCGTTAAAGAAAACTTTCCCCTCTAAACAGTAATTCAAACAATGACCAGCTTGTCCATAGAAATTCAAACAAGGGTTTTTAAACATTTTTCAGCATTTAACATTGTTAACTAAATTGTGCTAACAACATTCTCGGTTTTGATAAATTTTGTCATCGCGTGTAAAAATTCAATCTTCATCAATTTGAAAAAGTTAAAATAAATTAGTGAGTTTAATATGACGACAAGTAGCTAATAGCATTCATCACAGGAAGTGTTTGTTTCTTTAAAAAAGGCATTCACTCAAGAAAGTTTTGTAAGCAAAGAAAATCTTACCTTCAACTTCTACCTTAATTACTTTTCCTGCCATTTCACACGGCATAACAGGAAAAAAATGCATGGAAATCGAACTACACGACTTATCTTTTATTTAAACAAGGAGCAACTGATCGAAGCGTCGATTTTTATGGTTTAACCCTTCAAAGCAAAAACACTCTAAATCCAAGTCAAGTTAAAACATAAACGTCGTTGCCCTTCGGTTTGACAAATATATTGTTTGATCTTAAACATGGGACATTTAATAAGGAGAATTCCCAAATGGTTCCCCTTGATTGCTTAATAGAAAATAAAACTAAAACTTTTCTAGATAGCCATAGATTTAAAGTTTAAACGTGTTAAGGGTCGACACGCATCTAGGATTAACATTACATAATGTATTTAAACATATGTTAATTACAAGAGGGACTCGGGCCTAGACGCTCACTTGAGTATTAAGAGTATCACCACACGACTCGTGTGTATCAAAAACAAGGTTTTATAGATTAGTTAAATTTACAGCCTGAGCAAAATTTCCTAGTTTTTAGTTAGTAAGAACGTTATAATGTATCTCTGGCATAACGTCAAACTTTATAAATCCCGACAAAAATATATAAATGTCAGACTGAACCAAACTTGTCCCAAGGTTTTTTGAGCATTTCTTTGACAGATCTTTGGCATAGACGTCGGAAGCAAATTGAAAGTGGGAGGCTAATCCAACAAAAAAAGGTAAACCCCAATTTTCAATGCCTGTATTATGTATATATTTGCCAAAAAAGTCGGGGGGGGGGAGGCTAAGCCCCCCCCCCCCCCCCAGGCCCCCCGGTTTGGAACAAAATCGGTCACCTTGTTTACAGTAAAAGTGAATACATTTTACATGCTAGGCTCCAGAAAGAAAAACAGGATATTTATTGTGATAACATGCATCAGTTTCCGATGAGTTCCAAACCATCTTTCATCATACTAAAGAGGAGAGAAAATTAAATTAAATGAAAAATAAATTAATTCTCAGGTCCCATGAGAGCGGAAAATGTGCGAGCCCTTTACCCTATATGGTTTCAACTAGCATTCCTTACAATTTTTAAACATTGAATAAAATGGTTTTAAAAAGTCATAAAATTACAGATTTCTTTTTTTTCTTGCTATTTTTCTTTCTTTTCTTTTGTTTGTTTGTTTTTTTAATTTGCTTTCCGAACTTCTCCTAATGTCCAGGCCTAAGAAAAGTCAATAATTAAAATTGAATACATGTCACAATCCGTCATTTGATAAAATGAGTGAATAATATTGAGAAAAAAAGAAAAGATTTGTTTCAATCACGTCTATGTTTCGAAGAAAACGTAAACTTGCCACATAGTTTCCTGCTGTCTGACGTCATATACGCAACGTCACAATTACTTTATTTTCTATTTGAACAAACGTCAAAATGGAAGAAGCTAGTGAGAAAAATTACAAGGAGGCGATTCATTCAAACGATTGTGACATTAATGAAGTATCAACCAATACCTCATTGACAAATTATGGAAAAGGTAAAATTTGTCATTTTCATTTGAAATAATCAACGTTGTATAATTTTCTCCTTATCAAATCACTTTTTAAAACTAACTGGTAGGCCTATTTGTATACTTTAGGTCAAAATACTGGTATTATCTATACAGAAAATTAATAATTATTTAATTCTTTAATTAATGTAGACTATTTGGTAATTGATCACGGAGAACAGCTACAGCAACATTATGAAACAAGTCAACGGGACTTACAGAACCAGGTAATTTTAGAATAAGAAAGTCCTAGAATCAACGAATTTGAAGGCACAACAGGTATGCACTTTATATTTTCTAGATATTTAGACGTATAATTATTTTATTAAACGACTGTATATTAGTATATGAAGATTGACTGGGTTTACCATGCCAGTCCTAATTTATGACCTTGATATACCGATATAAATACAATGCATTAATCAATATTTGTCTTTAAATATTCAAAATATCACATCTTTCCCTATCTTGAAGTCGCCAGCTTGGTGCAGCGGATACAGCGTTTACTCAAGTCGCGAAGTAAGGAGTTGATCCTTACATCGCTAGTTCGAATCCCACTGTACGGGCCGTTGAGACCTGCCCTTCGGATGGACCGTATAAACCTAAGTCCCATGTTGCAGTAAATGTTGGCTCGAAAATGATCCCTAACTGCTCAATGAACCAAGTGACGAGCATAGGACAAAATTTGCAGCTCTCCAACAGCAAATGGTGGCGTCTCCATATGGGTGGAACATTTTTGACAGGGATATAAAACACCAAACAAATAAACAAAGAAACAAATATACCCTTGAATGCCTTTTATAAATGCCAGAGTATTTATATCAGATGGATATTATATAAATATAGTCCTTTGATGAGGTCGAACCATAGAAATATATCAACTTCACAGAAAAGCATATCGACTGAGCACGAATTAAAGGGCTACATTTGTTATATTATTATTATTTTTTTTTTTTACATAGATTCATTGGCAAAACACAATTTGATAATAATGGGGAAAAAACACAAGTTTTCTCTCTTTAATACTTAGAGACTAGAGATCAAAACAAATTAAGAGTTTAAAATAATTTTGTTTCCTTTATATTGATGAAGTAATTTAGATAATTTACTTATTTAAAATACTACATTTATTTGATTGTGTTTTGTATCAATTTTGACCAACATATCCAATATGTTTTAATATAAAGCGGTACTATTTTTGTTTTACAGAAAATTATCTCCATTTTAAGAAACATCAAGTCGATATGCATTTCAGATTCTATAAATAGTACCTCAAGTCTATATATGCTGTTATATACTTAATCATGTGATCAAGTTTGAGCCAATCAGAGAGCTTGGAATAAATGATAAAAATAACATTAAAATCTTAGAGAATATGTCATATTAAGGATGGAATATATCAACGAAAACAGGTGTATCTTCTATTCCGTTTTTATCATTTTCGATTTCTGTTCTCACTTATTTGAAACTCTTTTTCATGCGTCAAGTTGTACTTTCATTAAAAAAATTCAAAAGAAATCGAATGATACGTTTAATGTTATTAGGTAAAACTAGGCCCATAAGTATATTCAAACAGTTGAGTACCCGCGTGGCGCAGTGGTTAGAGCGTCTGCTCTAGAGTAGCGAAGTAAGGAGTCGATCCTTACGTCGCGGGGTCGAATCCCACTGTGGGACGTGGAGACCGGTTCTTCAGATAAGATCGTATATACCGAGGTCCCGTGTCGCAGTAGATGCTGGCACGAAAAAGATCCCTCACTGCTCAATGACCCTGAGTATCGAGTATAGGACAAAATTTGTAGCTCTCCACCGGCAAGTTGTGGTGTCTCCATATGAGTGAAAAATTCTCGAGATTGACGTTAAACAACATTCAATCAATCAATCAATCAATCAATCAATCAAAAAGTAGATTATGTTTTCTTGCAGGTTCAATTGATACGTGCCGAGTTAGCGACCCTTCGTGAAGTGGTTTTGGGGTTGGTCTTTATTCTAGGGCCATTGCTTGCAGGATGGACCGCTGTTTTGCTGACAAGGCTGTTAGGATACAGGTCATACGAAGCACAATTGCCTTTTGTCTTTGTTTTATTCTGAGATCAGTGATTAAATTCTTTAAGTATAAAATTCACTTTCTTAATATTTTTAGACATATGCAATTTCTGTGAACGTTGGAATGCTAGCTGCTGTTCTTCTTTGTGATGGTCCGCCATTCTTGAATGCCTTTCAAAGGCTATTCTATCACGTGGAGCTTCCAGCGGGTAACCTCTTCCCACAAGAGTACGCGGGAAAGACAAATCCTTCTTCCTCAGAAAGTAACCAGATTACCGAACCCGATGTCTTTGATGATGCCACTGAGAGTGAGAATGAAAATGTTCCTGCAGACTCGGTTGAGAATCTGAGAAGCACTGTTGACGATGTGGAAGACCAAGAGGATGATCAAGAAATTGAATAGTTGATCCAATATTTTTTTACATAATTAAAATTGTTATCACTAAATAGTGCCGTTTGTGATTGACTGCACCAGTCTGGCGAAGACAAGAATCTTACTGACCAAAGCATAACAGAGAGATTCAGGGGTCTTTTTATATGTTGTCAATCATATCAAATGAAAGGTATCTAAGGTATATAATAAGAATTTGTTTAGATGGGATCCAAAAATTATTCCTATACTTCTTTATCATTAAGATTTTGAAAAAAAATTTCTCCAAAGGGGGTACAGAGAGAATTTTTTTTGAAATGTTCTGTAGCGAGATAGCGCTTAATGGCTATCCCACTTCTGACACCAAAAATTGTAACGGGATAGCGCTTAATGGCTATCCCACTTCTGACACCAAAAATTGTAACGGGATAGCGCTTAATGGCTATCCCACTTCTGACACCAAAAATTGTAGCGAGATAGCGTCCAACGACTATCTCATTTAAGTATTGCTATAGTGGTTCTAGAAGACAGGAGTAAACTCCTTTTTTAAACACTGAGTCAATAACACTAAACTCGGAAATTAAGTTTCATAAATTTATTGAGTCTGCAAAACAATAAACAATTTTAACACAAAAAAATAATAATATCCAGGCCTTTTAACCACCCTTTTTACTGACAAATATCACAATATTAATAAATTCTCATAAACAGCCGGATCTCGAAATAATCGAAATATATGGCTGAATTCTATCTATTAAACTTAATTATCAATGAATAAAAGATTATTAACAACTGGAAATTCAGATACGATCGGATCCTGAAATAATCAAGATATATGATCGTAAATAAATCCCCAAAGCTGGTAAAAATAATCTTTCCCCCAATTAAATTAAACCAATTACCGAATTACAATTAACTGATTTAACAATTAGCAAATAATTACCAATTTTGTCTAAAAGCCCAAAATAATTACGTTAACCCTAACATCAAAAATAGCAGACTCCCGATTTACGGAAGAATCTCCCCTTTTATACTCTAGCGAAAATTCGTATACAAAACTCTTACGAATTCGTATAAACTCTTACGAATTCGTATAAATTCTTACGGAATATACGAAAAATACGGAAAATCTTATAGGGAAAATAGTTCCATTTAAATAATTAGATCAATAATACGTATTTCACCATAAAATAACTTGACTTTCATTCATTCAACAATAATTAATTAATTAATTACCTTATAACTGAACATTTTCACTTCTTTACAAAACTCCAGGGCGTATAAATATACACCGCGGATCAAGAGTAAAAATAAACCGGAAGTATACCATAATGCAATGCGCCGCCATGTAAATAGAAAAATAGACTGTCTGCAATACTACAACATGTGTTAGCACAATACAGGTAAAATAATAGTGAAAAACGTAATTTAATCAAAACATCTAGTAGTTCATACTCTTTTAACAGCACCCATACAGTTATTTCAACAAGGACATCATTAAATACGAAAGGATAAGCATGCATTACATGTACTCGTTCTACTTTCACTTTGCATACGATGACATGAAAAGTTGTGAATCCAATTTTTAGAACATCACTCAATAAATGTACAATGCATACACTCACATTACTCAAATCATGAACCATATAAAGTGTTCAATTAATATGCCAAGATTTGTAATTTAAAGACAAATAAAACATATGGGGACTTGAAATGACCAAACTTTACAGTTCTGATAGAGTTACACATAAAATACTACTAAAAAGTATCTGATTTAGGGATAGCTTAATTAAAGATAAAAAATAACAGCTAATATTGTATCTTTTCCCAGAATATTCTGTGAACTAGGACATTCTTATTCCAGTATAAAAGACTGATATTTTACATGCCAATGCATACGCAACAATGAAAAGCTTAAAAAAGAGATTTATGCAATAAACAATATTTAAAGGTTCGAGGGCAACATGCGTTTTGTCGGACCAAGAACCAAACTGTTTAGACAGTTTCGTTCGAGGGTCGACAAAACGCATTTTGCCATTTTTGCCCACAGTCAATAATAGATAGAGGATATTCAATGTTTTGTAGTTGAATATGGAATTTATTTCACGAGTGGGACAGGATTTTTGATATTTTCACGAGTGCGAAGCACGGGTGAAAATATAAAAAAATCCTGTCTCACGAGTGAAATAAATTCCATATTCAACTACAATACATTGAATTTTCTGTTTATTACATTTAAAAAAAATCTTTGATTTTTCCTTTGCCTCTGTCTTTTTTGTAATACATTCGTATTACATGGACTCGTGACGTCATAGTTGAGCGGTTTCAGACGTCATAGCTAAGTGAGGTAAAAACACTGTAAACATGAATTTGACAACATATTTTTGGTAATTTTGACAGTTTTATTCGCTGTCAGAATGGTTTATTTATTTCCATCTATGTTATATTAGGTCAAGGAAGATATTTTTACAGCAATCTTCGTTATGAGAAAGGAAATCGAGAGTTTTCCCGCACTTTTGATATTCGTCACACTGTGACAGGATATCATTTTGATATCCTTTCACACTGTGACAGGATATCATTTTTATTCAATGAATAAATTACAGTATTTCACGGGTAAAAATGTAATAATCCGAAATATCTTACTTCTTCCAGGCTTTTTTAGGATTTTGATACTGAGTATCTTACGTGCAAGGAAAACGTCAGAACCGGCGCCATTACGAAAACTGGAAATTTCGCCCTCTCCAATCGGAGTTGATATTCGATACTTAAGAACCGAACTAAATTCTGAAATCAGAATTTATCAA